TTTTTTAAGCCATGTGTGAATTGATTAGCTAGTTTTTTATATCTATGATAAGAGGAAATAACATGTTTTAACAGGTTATCCAAATAGTCCCTCCAATCCCTGTTACTAAGCCAGATTAATTATTGTTATCATGTTAAAGAAACTAGTTAAATAAAAAGAACAAGTCTGGATAACTAATGACTGAGTATTAGTATAATAATAATGTGGAGTCATTATTTATACGCAATCAGATATTATGTCAACTTTAATTTTAAACCTCGGAGTGTTGTCGGTTGCTTATTGACGACTGATTCCGCTGCGAACGAAGGGGCCAAATACGAAGGAACAAAAATAGACTTTGTAACGTAACTCAACAAAGCGCCCATAATTACTTCACTACTTCGATGTGTGAATATTTCTATTGCTCTCTGGTACCTTCCTGATCCATCTTTAAAAGCCGACGTCACCCCTGAGTTTAATTTTAGGGAGAATTATAATAATATCCAAAAAAAATTAATTACTAAAAAATCCTAATAACAGTTTAAGCAGCTTATAATGATAAGTTTTGAAATAAAAAATAACAATTTATAGGACTTGTTTTATAATTATTTTTTTCTTAAAATCTTATTATAATTCTTTCTTAATTTTATGGGCTGACCATATGAGTTCATGGCGGGGAACAAGCCACACCAAGGAAGCCTCACATTGCTCAACTATGTTGTGACCCACCAATAGGAGTTGGCTTTAGCGGAATGGGTTAGTCCCTCACAACGTGGAGAACTAAAGTTCAAATCCCCGTTGAAAAAGATACTCACATTTAGTATCCGACAGTGCCTCGAATAGGATTGTCTCTACTAAAAAGATGACTATACTTTAACAAAAAAAACTAGGTTGTGACCCTGCACCAGAAAAAAAAAACACACACACACACTCTATGTTGTGACCGTTGCGAGAAAAAAGTATTAGGTATAAATTGATCTCCTCAGTACTGTTCGTCGTTTTCTTCTGGAATTTTTCAAATTAGTCCAAAGGCACATAGCCTCCTCCTTCCAGTTAATCATACCAAGTCATCATATATAGTCTCCTAATTAATCTAACCACATGGCCCAAATCAATTAACTTATATATATACTCCTCCGGTCCTTATTATAAGACCCAATTTGACTTTTTATTTGGTCCTAATTATAAGACCCAATCCATTTTGTCTCTTATATTTATGCATTTTTTTCCAAGATAATCCTTCTAATAATGATAGTTTTAGCCAATATACTTAATTAGCAAGGATATTTTAGGAATGACAACACTTATTTATTATAAATAACCAACTTAACTCACTTCCTTAATCTCCTCAAATAAGTCAATTGGGTCTTATAATTAGGACCGGAAGAGTATATATATATATATATGTATGTATGTATATTGCTTGCTGACGTCGATCGATAACCAGAATGAGCACAAGACAGCCTCTGTCAGACCCTTTCTTTTAACCAGATTCACACTTGCACCGTAAAAATGGAAAACGGCGGCACTAAATATTTTTAAAAAGGAGACAAAGTTTAACTAAAACACTAGAAATTTTCTTCGTAGAAAGTTTCCCTCTGTTCATTCACCCCGACCAAATCCAAGGCCACTTCATCACGTGCCTTGGCTCTCTATAAATACCCTTCCGCCATACAAAATCTGTCTCACCATCACATCTGAGAATTTCATACAGTTCCTGACATCTGAAACATTCCTTTCAAATCTGTTCTGCAAGACACAATCCCTTTTTGCCGAAGCATGAAGCGACAAACGAGGACGTTCATCCCATGTCTGCTGATGTTAGCAACAATCTTGTTACAATACTCAGCGTCAACCAAAGTTGATCATGAAGTTGGTAATTAATGATCATGAACATATACATACACACACCATTAAATCTCCCTCTGATCTTCCCAATTCTTGGGTTAAGCTCCAATTACGTCGTCCATGCATATATGCATGCCTGGATAATGTTTGTAACAAGAGTTTATGTAAATGATGGAACAGAGTTCAGTTACATAGAAGGGAGCGCGAAGGGGCCATCACGATGGGGAGATCTGAAACCAGAATGGGCAACCTGTAAGCACGGAACAATTCAGTCTCCTATTGATCTGTTGAGTCGCAGAGTGAAAGTGGTGTCCGCCGGCTCAGAGGGCCTCAACAAGGCCTATAAGCCTGCCGCTGCCTCAATCCTCAACAGGGGCCATGATGTAACGGTAAACACATTCATCACAAATCCAAACTCTATTTATTACACTCACTTTAATTTTCTCAAACACAAACACACATATATATTGCTACGCGCACGCATTGTATTTGCATTGCATGGAAACCTATACACGAGCATCTAATAATTATATTGCTATTCGGGAAATTGCAGGTGAATTGGGAGGCTGATGCTGGTTCAATAACAATCAACGGGACCCATTTCCTTCTCCAAGGAGCCCATTGGCACTGGCCTTCCGAACACCTTATCAATGGCAAGAGGTATAGATTCCCCCCCCCCCCCATATATTCCTAACTCAGCCTAATTACCTAACTTATGTTTTTTTTAACTGATTAATTTTCAATGTGGATTTTCCAATGATTAGGTTTGACTTGGAGCTGCACATGGTTCATCAGTTCACACAGCCAGATGGCACAAACAAGACCGCTGTGGTTACTGTTCTCTACAAGCTTGGTCGTCCCGATCCTTTTCTATCCAAGGTATATAATATACATGAGTACCAATATAACGTGTCAATATGTCAGTATATATGTATATCTCACGATCGTGTTGAAATGCAAATGAATATTGTAGTTGGAAGAATACATAAAGGCGATCGGAGAAGAAGGAGAAGAGAAATCCTTGGGGGTGATTGATCCGTCAGAGATAGAAGTGGGTCGAGACCACTTGTACTACAGATACATTGGATCACTCACCGCCCCTCCTTGCACTGAAGGTGTCATTTGGACTATTTCTAACAAGGTATTTCTATTTATATCCTATCAATTATTCCCATCTATTCCTATGTATTATCCTTCTCTTCATCATATATTGCTATCGATAGTCTCTTAGTCTCACCACTTGAAATTACTTATCTCCTCAGATCAGGACTTTTTCGAGAAAGCAACTAAATTTACTCGTCAATTCAGTCCAATATGTAAGTATATATACATATGCTACGTATTGCATTAAGTTACTGACTAGCAGTCATTTGACACTTTAAAAATCATGCACTGATTATGTCCTGCGGGTGTTCTGTGACAGTACGCGAAGAGGAACGCAAGGCCATTGCAGCCTCTTAACAATCGAGAAGTACAATTTTACGTCCCAAGCTACAGATATTAATAAATCTCATTATTGATTTCCCGTATTCCTTACATTGTTCTTGTACTTGTACTATACATTCATGTCTTTTCCGCTTTCAAAGCAATAAGTGCCGTAAAACCCTTTGTTTCGAAGCACATTACTGATTCTTTATTAATATTTCCGGGTGTAAGTTTATTATTGTGTTTCATTATTATTTTTTTAGTGAATAATACAAAATCCCTTTCATATTATTTTTTTCGATTTACATTTATCAGCATTTGATATTAAAAATCAAGCCTCCCCCGTTATAGATGTAAAACGCCGAGTTAACAAGCGGCTAACCTTTCTGCGGCGATGCCTTTGTTTGGATGAGCCGTGATATACAAGTAATTAGCCTGGGTGTAGGTTTTTTTTTTTAATTAAAAGAAAAACAATTCCTTACATGCATACTAACAAATAAAAAAATACTATACAGTTCACAAATAAATTAGAAAATTAATCATTTCCTACGCTTTGGTAAATTTCTGCATCTGTTTTTTCTCACTAGTTTTCTTCAATTTTTTCTCACCCTCAATCCTGCACATCCAGATAAAAAAAAAAACTGTCAATTACTCTTCTTAAATGGTACTAACTCAACCAAGTCATTAAATTTGCAGCAATTAATAAGTAGTAATACTAACATTTAGAAACACTAAAAGTAAAATATATAAAGCCATTAATTGATTTCATTGATTGCGAAAAGCATATCCAGAGCTGTTTTCCGTTGTATGGGCTTCTGTTTGAATAAGGATGGGAGTCCAATTACCATGTGCAATCAATGCTCCCCCGTCCACCAAAACCACTCTCGCCTTTGCATATGGATTCCAAACTACAACAGGAGAGGAATGCAGTGCCACGAGCCAAGTTGGGTGGTGTAACAAGTGAGGATGGGGGGTGTGGCGTTGGTCCTTATAATTTTTATTGTCTCCCAAATCTTCTGTATGTCATGCTCCTTCGCATCTTTTTTAAAAGCCTTGCTAAACCAACAGGGTTAGATATAATAAGAGAAGCCAATCCCTCCAACATGATAAATTAATATTCGAATCTCCACTAAGATATTTATGTGCAACAAAAAAAAAACTCGTCTATTATCCTGAGATTAACAAACTTCATTGTGAAGATGTTCTGATTTATTATGACAAATAAAATAAAAGGTAGCAAAAACTTTTTTTAAAAAATTCTGATTTATTTAGACAAATTTAACTTTCGGGTTTTCAAGACAACCGAAAATACAATTTTAAACATTTTTTCTTATTCAAAACAAACAAACAAAAATACTGTCTTGACATACTCTGCGTATCAGGGAAAACAGAACAAGTTTACTCCCCTCTGCCTATAATTTTCTCAAAAAAAGAGAGAGAGAGAGAAACTCCCGATCGCCCGGTCAACAGGCTTTCAAAACCGAAGAGGAGAATTAATGAAATTCATAACCAGCAAGACCAACGAAGAGGAGATTCTCCAACAATTTTTTGCTAAAATAATCGTTCACAGGCCAAATTCAGTGCCCAAGTCATGAGAAATGGCGCGCAAGTCCCTTATTTTGTCCACATTGATGGGTTAAGCAACATTGAGTTTTGCCGGATCAATTTTAATGTGACTTATCTCGAGATTCATGCAAACACGCGATCAACTCTAGTTAAATTGACAGATTTTATCTTTGAAGAGCAAATTAAAAAGAGAGCGAAATTATGATAAGTTGCACTTACGTAACTTGATCAAGGAATTTAAGTTAGTGAGCGGAGCATCAGTCCAACTACTCTTAAGAACTAAATCATGGCTTTGTCATCACTAGCACAAGAACATTAACTAAGCCACTTATTTTTATGTTATTCCGGGCTCACAGTAAACATAACAGCCCTAAACTATTTGAAATGAGCAACCAGATCGTGATGTAATCACTGCAGCACGTCTTCAACGTTGGATGAACATGATGAAGCAGGTCCACCTTGCGTCAGTCTGGTGTTGTAGGATTTACATTTTAGACACTTATGCGCCAAAACGTGAAAGCTCACCTCTGATGTTTCCCCACAATCATTGCACAGAATCCAGACCTAGCCATACCCATCAGAAATTTCAGAATGTTAGGTGATAACACCGTTGCAACTAAACAGAGGCGCAAAAAAATACGAATGCTTACCATCTTATTTTGATATATATCTGGCATAGGTGTTGATGCAACCTGAATAAGTTGAAACGTTCAGAAAGTATATGGCTCTTTCCAGAAAAACTGTAAGCATATACATATCAGGATATATAATTCTGACAACATTATAGGTACCTCATGATCCAGTCTCTCCCACACGCGCGACATGTCACAAAAAGATTTTGAGCAAACAGGACAAGAATACCTGCCAAGAATTTTTGTCAGGATGAAGCAACAGTGCTTAAACATATATACAACTACCACTGTATTCTATATATCATTTCGGTTGCAGAACTCACTGGAAATGCCGCGCCATTTCTTTCACACATTCCAGATGGATAGAGTGACAACATCGCAATACAGTAATGTCTTTTGTGGTGTCAAAAAGAAACTGCACGTTGGAAAAACGGGTGACCAAATGATTGGTGTTAATGTACCATACAGGATAAAGGAATATATCCATCCAAGATATCGGGGCCCTGCCCTTCTAGGTTCTAATTTTACCTCAAAGCAAACAGGACAATTCTGATGCATGGCTTTTTCCACACAACGGTGTGAGTCCTTTAACAGTGTTGAATAGCAACATCCTATGGACAAATAAAGATCATGATAACGCACTTAACAGTCATTTTGACTATGAATATGAATATCGAAAAGAAACAAAAAGGGCTCATCTCTCCAAGGGAAGTAATTTCGAGACGTATTCAGACACTGACCACATTTGTTGCAGTGGAAAAAATTCTCCTCGCCCCCAATTCTGTGCATATAAATAGAATGTCAAGTAAACAACTGATTAATTGGAGATGAAACTTTAGGCAAGAAACCGTGGAAAGTAAAGAATCAGGGCTTGGCATTGCTTGGACCTGCAGATGCCACATTCATCGCAATGGTACTGATTCTTTGATACCTAGAGTAAACAAATAATACTTCAGTTATTATTAAAGGTCTTGAAAGGAGACCCAGGATTTCAGAAATAAAATGAGGCAAGAAACTAACATCGTCATCAAAAAACTTGCACTTGGAGCAGAAGTAGTTCCCCATGCAAACACCGCACTGAATGCACATCTGTTGAACCTGCAAAGTGAAAAAATATGTCGTGAAAGAGGGTTAATGAATTTATACCAACAGTCTCTGAGATGATGTATCTTTCAGATAGACTCTTACATCTTGCTCGGTGCTACACAAGGAGCAGATAACCTGAAAATAATGGCACAAACACTATTTCCAGTCAGTGCTTCTTTCTCGAGGTTCAAAGATTAGGGATAATTAATTAAAAGTGGTAGGAAAGTAAAAAGGGGGAAAAAACGAGCTAGCATTACTTTTATTTTCGTCCTCTATCTTTTAAAAAAAAAATCCCAGCATTTAATATTCTTAAAAATAGTTAATGTTATTAACCTTGCCAATAGGGTCAGATTAGCTGAACAGAATATATCCAAGTTAAAACCTCATCAATTGCGTTTCTGTATTTCCAAATTGAACTCCTTAGCGACCATTAACAAAGATCATGATTCATGCATTGAAGATTAAAGCGCATGCGGCATACAGCACGGACCCAAAATGGAAAGCTCAAAGTCTTCGCTTCAACTTTTCTATCACGGCCGTACAAATATTAGGAGTATATTTATTATTGGAACCAGTTTCAATGCTTTGATGATTGGCACCCTAAACTCAGATTTGAAACAGATTTAAAATTTTTAATTAATTATTTTTAAATTAAAAAAATTATTTTTTGAAAAAAAGATAGTTAATAAATTACCATTCCATACATATTAACATAATTATTTTAAATAAATACAACAAAAAAATCAAATCTGGAGCATTCAAAGAAGATATGAACGACCCAAATCTATAAGCAAAATTTATTATTTCATCTAATACATGGAGTATATGGAGCATTAATAGCAGAAAAAAAGAATAATATAAGATGCGAAGCTTAGAGCTGCGTACTCTCTTTAAATCGTGACGAGGAAGGTCATGGCGCTCAACAGGGTCCAGTTCAATCGAATTCTGTTGAAAAAGCGGAGGAAGCGTATATTCGAACATTCATCGAGGAAAACAAGAGTTATAATTAGTTTCAGGAAATATAAAATCAACATTAGATAGCGATAGTTCAACAACATCATATACAAAAGCAAATAATTCGAGAGCTGGGATGGAACCTTAGATTCATTATGGCAATGTCTGCAATCGAATATTTCATTGCAACAGGGTGCTATTATCTTGCATCTCCTTCTATAGTGCGAACACCTTCAAATTCCAACGCCGGTGGAACCTTAATTAGTTTTTACCAGCGATTTTCTCGAAAAGGAATCAGAACTCTTCAATGCATGGGAAAAGTTGTAAATAAGGGAGGGGGAAAAAAAGATACCCGTGACGGCCACGTCCTATGTCAGAAAGAGAGCCGTCATCTAGTTGAGAAATCCCCCGGGCTGACTTCTGCGGCTCCACGATGCACTCCATCATCCCAGACTCTGCTCTTGCTTTCCGCTGAATCCCTTAAAAATGAATCATGAGTAAGATTAGACGGACGAAGACAACACGACACTGATGAGAATGGAAGAAAATAAAAAGAAAAGGGATGGACCCTAAACCGGAAGTGAAAGGACAATTCAGACGGAAATGAGAGTTGCGGGGGAGGCTGAAGGCAGAGTTGACAGGCGCCAAGGGAGGTGTCTCTCCAGAGGGGAGAGAGGGGAGAAGGGAAGGAAAATGCTGGTTGCGGGAAAATATCATAGGCGGGAGGTAGTGAAATACCGAAAGAGCCCCTACGTTCCTTTCTAGCCCCCCACTTTCCTTCCTTGCAAGTGAGGACGAGACACGCTAGCGCTTTAGCCGGCCAACTTAATCATTAATGTCAAATACATCAATTATTAAACATGACTTGCTATCATTAAACGCTCGCTTACGAAGCGTGACGATGCCAGAACGAAACAATGACCACTCACGTCCTTTTTAATTTTTGAATTGGAGCACTTGCGGTATTTTGCCTGCGCAAGCTTAATTTAAAATCAGTGAAGGCCCAAACTTCGTATCATGATAGTTCCTCTAATACCTATTCCTTTTAATTTTAAAAAACACAAATCAACACGAGGAAATCTTTATAGCTTAATGTTGAGAAAATTATATATATTTTTTATAATATTCTTAATATTATTGAGATGTGTTTTTATTTGTTTAAGTATTTGTTTGATAATGCTGTTCAAAAGTATTCGTTTGATAATGCTCTTAGATGTTTTAAATTTCGGAATTGCGAATTCTCTGACTCTTGAATACAACATGGAAAGATCTTTGAAGAGGATTGTTATCTTGTGAGCAATAATATTTATTAAAATCATGCCATTCAAATCTCCAACAATAACAAGCTAAATTTAAAATTGAAATGTACTTAAAACTTACGAGCATCTATTATCAAGACTGGTAAATGGTTCATGCTTTTTCAAATACAGTATATAATTAACTATTGAGAGTATTTTGTAATTTACAAAAACTAAAAGCCACGAATTTGGGTTGAATACGGCAAAAGTACGCTACATGTAGATGCCCGGGAACCTTGTTTTACTCCTTAAATTTTTAACACGCCGCCATACAGATCGACAAAACACATGTAAATAGCATGTTTAAAAAAAATGACCATGTGAGTCAACCAAAAAAAAAAAATCAATAATGAAGTTTGGAAGGAAGGAAAATGGCCATATAAATGGAATCAATTGAGAAATGCATGAATGATTGGCCACATCAAGAAAGATCTTCAGTAGCACTCGTATCAGGCCAACTACTGTTCATTTATTTTTAAAAATCACAGATAACTAGTTTTTAAGTTATGTAATTTACATGGCTGTATATTAAATTTTTATATGAATTTTACACCTATACATTGAGCCTCATGTGATGATTATATTGATTTTTATTTTCTAAATTAAATTACATCTATTAATTAATTAATTTTCTAACTTTTACTAACATGTTCATGTTCACAATTCATTGTAAGGAAAACCTTTATCATTTACTTCCAGAACTCTTTTAGGGGAAATTATGCTCTGCTGCTGATAAGTTACTGTCTTTGTGTGTTTAAAAAAAAAAAAAAAGGAGGCAAGAGACAATTTTATTGTGAATAATACAAAAAAGTCCCCAAACCCTAAAAGCAAAAAGGATTAGAATAAAGGGCGGTGTTGCTGTTAACAAGACGTTAATGAGGCGGGGAGCAATAATTGATGAAAGAAAAGACGGGTCCAGCACAAGAAGTGGATAATGAGAAAAGAAACCAAAAAGTCGGTGGACGGCGGTACATCAAGGGGAGATGTTGTGGGCCCAGCTGGGGACGTGGCAGATGATGGGAGCATGAGGATCAGGAAAACCTTTTCCAGATTCGCCGTACAGTTTTTGTTGCCAGTCTGGATCACAGCACTGCCAATAATAGTTTGACACGTGCACATTCACATGCACTCCTCTCTCCTCTTTCCGTCTTCGATTTCCCCTCTGTCGCTCTCCCTGCGTTCTTCCTCGGACAATTGTGAGGTCTCAAACAAGCGCAGGGATCTTGAGTCCAAAAAAAAAAAAAACAAGCGCAGGGATCAAACTTGCTGAATTACAGATTTTTAATTTCGTTTTGCCCCCAAATATCATCCTCATTTAGTTCTTTTTTAAGCCCTCACAATTTCACCTTCTTCTTGAGCCTTTCCTATTAGCCGATGGCGAGCCTCGGGCAGACGATTTTCACACAAAAAATTAAACTAAAATAAAAAACGATTATAAAATGGATTCAAAATGAGACCGACCAGCAATTTTATACATCTTTTTCCTAAATTATTTCGCATTTACAATGCGTTTTGTGCTTTTTTCTTTGTTTATGCGCGTCTAATTTATCGCTGCTGTTCTGGAAAATCTGGCACCCACAAATAAAATATCATCGTTGTGTTACTTCTAGATTTAAGTACCATGTGATTGATTTGTGCAAACGAAATCTTTGCACCTGGCTGCAAATCAGTGAAAATGAAAAATTTTAGCGAAGCCTGGTCCAATACCAAAAGGAAAAGGATGGGAGACGACGTCGCTCCATGGCATTGGTGAGCCCACCTAGTAGGCTTTCAGGGTCCAGTAATAAAGGCCGATCAGCCCATACGAACGTGCGGAATCATTGCATAATCGTGGAAGAGCATTACACTTAAACTAGGCCCGTTATTTTGTTTTGAAAAGGCCCATAATCCATCTTGATTTTGGATCCTTGTAGCAATGTCGTCCATTATTATTGCTCTGAGTATGTTTGCTTAAAAACTAAGAAATTATTGAAGATGACGTGGATTCGGTGGCATCGAATTATGAAACCATAATTATGTTTTTTTTATGAGTGATTTTGAGAAAAAAGAAGGAAGAAGAGGAGAAAGATGTGAGGTGCATGTGAGGAGGTAGGATCAGCCAGACCAGAGAGCATGGGCGTGAAATAGGAAGGGGCCACCGTGATAGTCACACAGCGCTCCTATATTTTTCAACAACAAAATTAGTATGAATTAAAGGCAAGAGATACGAACACAGCAATACAATCACGCACAATTAGCCCCTATCTTTTTCGCTATTTTCTTATTCGTGCGGACCTAACCCACATGCTCTCTCTCCTTTCAGTCCCTACTCCAGACGAAAGCGAGTTTGGTAACGCCATCGATATGTTTATCTGTGGTTCTCAACAACTCCTTTATCATAATAATCTTCTCCTATTGCCCCTCAAACGCTTGCCTTTTTTAATTCCCCATTTTTTGTCCTCTATTCTGATTGATTCACCTAATTCTTAATTTATCCCCCATTCCTTCATCTGTTGCCCTGCATACCAATGCCGTCACTCAACGCTGCACCTATATGAGGAGGTTAGGCCGGTTTGGAGTGTTTGGCAGTAGTTGTCTTCCTGGTCACAGGCCATGGATGCATCATTCTGGCTCCACGATAATGAAGTGGCCTCAGTGGTCACTGTAAAACAACTATTCTCACACATGAGGAGTTGGAGTTAGGAGTTCTGTTTTTTTGTTGTAAAGGTCTGAAATCAGGAGGGGGAGGCGTGCGTAGCGGGAGGTGGCAGTTGGGAGAGAGTTATCATAATAATTAAGGGATTCAAGACAAACATACGCTTCAGTTATGGTACTGGCAGGGAATCTGAGGTATTTGGATGATGTGGGTGAAATCCAATAGCTAAAAAGCAAAGGTGGACCCGAGCAAGCACCAGCACAAGAGACAGGACAGCAAGGCTCGTCCAAATCATAAAAGCGAAAGAGGTCTTTGATTAGTTGGGGTGCTGTAATTCAGAGTTGTTTCACGTGCTCTCTGTTCCTTAGCCCTCTCAAGTCTCAGCCGCTCATCGTTTATCCTCACCAATAATGACACAAACTCCCTCTGAAGCCATCCACCGTGCCCATGGATCAGGCTTCCGAGAGGAGCCGACGAGCACGAAGCGACGATCAGCAGGCTGAGGATTTCAGATTTATGTGTCTATTTTGTTTACCTGATCAAATGGATATTTTAATCCAATGAAATTGTTTCTAATTACAGTAAAGGGCCTCGTCTTTTTATGAGATTTTAGAAAGTGAACGCGGGCGATGCCATTAATTCTATTATGGGGTCTGTGATTGTTATTTTACCTCATCATTATAAGCACGGAAATGTTCCCACCAGTTTTGGCTTTCTTCCCCTGCCTTCTTTAATATGGCTATCAGACAGGGCTCAATATCTAAAGGTGGTGATGTTTTATTGTACTAACTACTGAGCACTCAAGTCTCACCCTCTTTCTCTGAAGTCCCCACTATCGGAATCCAATTTGTCATATTTGTTGGTAGAATATTTAAGGTTGGAGCATGGCAACTGGACATATATGTTGTTGTTTAACGGATTTGAAGATTGATGCATTGCGCTGTGTCATTTAATTAAGATGTTTTTGTTCTAGCATCTTCGCAGTTTTTGCTAACAACTGCGAAGATGCTAGAACATGCTCTCATGAAACTGCCCCACACTCCACCCACCCTGTCAGCTTCGGGACTCATCATTCTCCTCTGCATTTTTTTTCTTGCCTGTCCCCATTTTATTCTTAGAAATCCCTTTATTACTCGTGGTTCCTTTAAACCCTCATTTTGACCCCACTAGAGTGTTTTGTTCCTCTATCCTTTTCCTTTTCAGGCGTTGTGGGCTCATTCTCAATTTTTAACGACACCCTCCTTTAACCCTTCTAATTTCACTCTTTTATTGACCCGGTTCCCACTTCCCACCCATATTTAGGTCCTGCGTTAGAAATTTCTTGTAAATATGCATGTTATATTTATATCTATAAGCTATCCTAAACAGACTCTTGTCCCCATTTGAAGAAAAACATTTACAATTTTTAAACGAGGCGTTCTGTCACATACATCAAACTTCTTTTTCTTTGGACCTGTAGCGGAAATTCTGGTCCCCATTTGAAGAACAACGTTTACTCTCAAATTCTTAATTCTATTACAAATATCAAACTTCTTTTTGTTAGGATTTTGAGATTCATACGCTGGTTTCCGAATGCTTAACGAGAAATCATAAGTTATATTTCCCCTATAAAAATTACAAGTCTAGTTTGAGGAATTAATAAATTCAGTTTCTTTCTTTCCCAAAACGAAGAGAAGATTTGAGAAGGGGGTGAAAAGGAGGTGATATCATACACGCAGACCTGCGTTACAGTACATCATCAGTGCTGCACAATAAGAGAGAACCAAATCCTTCCCCGTCATCACGATTCAATCAAGATCAACGCCCACCAATTCAACGCATAATTTAAAAAGAAGAAGATGAACAAAGATACACAAGTTTCAGATACAAAGGGAATAAAAACCACCCCCCTCTAATCAGATATTCGAACTCGTCCGCGAGTTTAGTAGTCTGTGGTGGGGAGCTGCTCGTGGCTGTGGGAGATGAACACAACCTCGTAGATGAGGCCAGCGAGGCCACCGCCGATAAGTGGCCCCACCCAGTAGACCCAGTGGTTGTCCCAGCTCCAGCTCACCAACGCTGGCCCGAATGAAACTGCCGGGTTCATGGATGCCCCATCGAAGGCCCCACCCGCCAGAATGTTCGCTCCCACGATGAAACCGATCGCGATGGGTGCGATTACTCCCAAGTTGCCCTTCTTCGGATCAACGGCGGTCGCGTACACTGTGTACACCAATCCGAATGTCATCACTATCTCGAACACCACCGCGTTCCATACTCCAACTCCAGCCGACAGTGCAAAAGCTGGTGTGCTCTGCCATGCAGCACAGCAAACCCAAACAAAACCGTTATTCTTGATCATATGAACTATAAAATTAAATTAAATAACGTGTAGTCCATCTCCTGTTAGTTACTATAACCGACCCTCACAAGACAAGTACTGATGGATGGTCTTACCAGTCCCCCGGTAACGAACTTGAGGAGCAAGCAAGCAATGGTCGAACCGAGAAGCTGAGCGATCCAGTAGACGATGCCACGCAACAAGGTGATGTTGCCTCCGATGAAGGCTCCGAAGGTGACAGCGGGGTTGACGTGGCCACCGGAGATGTTTGCACCAACGGAGACCGCAACGAACAGAGCGAAGGCGTGAGCGATGGAGGCGGAGATGAGCCCGGCAGGGGTGGTGGCGCCGTCGCTGGTGAGCTTGTTGAAGGCCATGCCGGCGCCTTCGCCGGCGAAGACGAAGATGAGGGTGGAGATAAACTCAGCCAACCCGGCCTTCAAGGTATCGGGATGAGTGGCCTCCTGGGGCCTACCGACGGCGATGTTTCGGATCGGCATGATACGGGGCGTGTTGAGAAATCGGACAGTTTGGGAATAGCAAGTGCTGGTTGCCACTTCTCAGCCGGGGGGGTTTGAGGGACGACTCTTTATATTGAGAGTGTCCAGGGTCAGAAAACAGGCGATAGCAGGTTCCGGTAAACCAAGAAACAGGAAATGGAAAACGAATTATAGTGTTGGGGAGATATTGTTATTTGGCGACAGGCTGGGAGCTGCTAAATTTGTAATACTGATGAGTATTAGTTGTAAGCTTGTGATTATTCGGGACTTTTTTTTTTTTTTTTGCCCTATTTCTTTGGGTGTGAGGGAATGCGGACTGGGAGTGAGTCCCCCAGTCGTTGCTGTTGATGCCGCGAAGCAATTCGGCGGAAGGCATCGAGAGGGCGACACGTGCCCAACATGGATAAGAGGCACGTAGTAGAGAGGGATTGAGGGCCGGGGTTGGAAGTTTTGTCCGGTTTTGGCAAATTGCTGGGGCCTGGAAACATCGAAAGAGGCGGGATCGCATGATCCCTTTGGGATGGATGGTGAATGGTGCGGAATGCAAGGACCAAATGGAATGCGTCCATTTAATATTTTTGTGCATCTTTCCATTCAATTTTCGTTCATGAACATTTCACAATAGGAAAAAAATGATATAAATAGAAGTTAGGATAAAAAATTTCAGAACAAAAAATGATGTTTAATCTAGTATTTTATAAATATTATCAGATGATTAAAATGTTTTAGTGTCAGATTTTAAAAAAAAAATATCAAACTTGTTATTGTTAGCATGTTTCTTATCATTGATTGTTCAACACTTGTCAAATAAATAATGTGTCATTGCTAATATATTTTTTATTATTTGTTATTCAATACTAGTTATTACCAATTCACAACTTGTTAGTAAGGTTTTTTGATATAAGGATATTTTTTGTATTTAACTATATTTTCAAAATACCATATTAGATATTATTTTCTCCTCTTAAATTATGCTTAAATTTAAATATTGCAATTCTCAGCTTGTTTTTATCTCATTTTCCCTTCACAGTAATCTGTTCTTATCTACTACCAATGAATCAATTTTCATTAAAATAAAGGGCATTAATGTTATTGAATAGACAGATACCTGAAATATGAGATCTTGTTTAATTTGTGAGTTATATATATTATTTTTCTTCAAACCAATTTATCCAAATTTATAAGATATTTTGAATAGATTTTTTTTACTACAATATTTTTAATAGATCATATCAATGAAATAATTTATATGAATTAGTTAAACAGTTTTTATATCAGTAATGGAAGAGTGTTTAAATTGCTTACAAAATACAATGTATAACGGGAAGTGTAAATGAGATGAGGGGAGAAACGGGTCAGTCCTTTTGGAAGTGACCCACAGGAAAAGCGGCTATCATTAAGCAAAGCCGGACGGTCACGTGGGTGCTTTTTTAAAAATATTTAACTTCCGCCTCAAGTTTACACTCACGTCAAAGCAGTCCTTGTGGATTTCTCGCAATATACACGCGCTTGGTCAGTTCGTAATTTCGATATATAAATTCTAATTGTGAATATTCACAATTCTCTGAATTCTGAAGATTTACACAGGCAACTAGCTCGTTAACTTTAAAAAATGCCAAACTATATAAAACCAGAAATCTTGTGCCTCCCAAATATTCATATGACCTTTTTCCCCACGGATGAAATAAGGTAAAAGGATCAATTTTTGTCAGTAAAATATAAAGCAGAGATGGAAGTAAAACGATAAGGATTGGCGTGTCACATGGACATAAATACTTGATAAAAATACCTCTGGCTACTTTTGAAAAGTTTTCATGTTTGTATCACACGTCGGTTGTCATTTTTTATTATTTTGACCGTGTTGGCATGATGACCAGAGGATTGGCCTTGGATGCTTTTTGGTTTTACAGGGTAAAACAATGAAAGGCAACAGGAGCAATCAATGATTAAAGAAGCGGACCGAACCGGACGGTTGGACCTGTTGAACCGTCACCCGGACTCGTTAACGGCTCGGTTTGGACCAAAAAACCGTTCACATAGTTGAGCCGGATTGGACCGGAGTTGAGCCGTTATTAAGCCGGAAACCGGAGTTGGACCGGAAATCGGAACGGTTTTCGGAAAACCGGACGGTTTTTTAGCCTGACTGAAAAATACTAAAAAAATTTTAAAAAATAGAAGAAAAATAAAAAATTGATCCCCTTAAATATCCTAATATATTTTTAGACTATTTATAACCATAAGTATTATTTCATTGAAAATTTCATATATTGTGGTGTTAAAATCGTGAGTCGCTAGTCTTTTTATTTCGATATTTGGTCTATCTTTTAAAAAAATATTTTGATTTGAATGAATTGATAATTTGTAATATCATTAAATATTTTAAACATACATAAATTTAAATATATAAGGTTTTAGTCCATTTTCAATGATTTCATTATAATTTTAGATTATTTAAATGCATTTCTAAATTATTTAATAATTTGATATTTTTCATATATACTAATTATATGTATATAATATTGTTTTAAATTAATGATTGCGTCACCGGTCTAACCGAACGGTCCAACCGATCCGACCGGTTGAACCATGACCCGTTGATCTTTCCGGTTTGATTTCCGGTCCGGCTTTTAAAACATTGGGAGCAATCAATTTCGTGATATTACAATTAGTGCCGATTCGGGTTAGTTCAGTTGAGGCGGGTGCTTCCTTTCCTGCAAATTTAAAATAAAGACAACATTCGTCCATGAAAAGAAAGCACAATTAGAAGTTTGTCGGGGGAAAAAAATTGTGGCGACGATATGGTTGATTAGGTAGAAAAGCTCTGTCTCAGGCCAAAACAAAAAAAAAAAAAAAACAGAGAGGAAAGAGACGGAAACAGAAGAAGAGAAAAAGCTGTCAAGCTAATTAATATAATGATGAGTGGTGGATAATGATTAGGGCACGATCAAATTAACTAAATTATCATTATGGTGTATTTAATACTACTCTCTTTAATAGCCAGCTTATCTACATTTTTTAATTCGTTTCCATTGATATTGGCCCGGACGTGGCATCACACAACTCTCTTCTCGTTAAATCGTGGGAACAATTGAGTATCTAATGATTACCGGAGAGTTGCCATGCATGGCCCTTCCTCCTGGCTGGGAAATTCTATTCTAGCATTGGATGATTGCTATTTAATCACCTTATCTTTTTTCATAAACCCATTTATTTAATACAAGGCCAATTATTTGTGGTGTGTAACATGCTATAACATGGGTTTTATGTTGAGAATTTGAAAAATATTAGATTTTACAAGTAAACTTTATTAACATCTCACTCTTTGATCCATATAAATATATAAAGACAAAATTATTCATAAATCTGAGATATGAAAATTAAACTGAAAAGAAATCTCAAAAAATCCATATTTGCAGGTTAAGCTATATCATGTTTTAAAATTGATGAGTTGCATCATTAACAAGCTGAACTTCCAAAACTTAATCCTCGAGGACCTTTTTTTTATATTTAATGTTTTTTTACTTGAGACCTGTAGCTAGATACATTCACATACATATGAAGGCACATAGGGTTGGATTACATTTTTATATCTAATCATGAATCATGCGAATAAGACGCACCCTTCTTTTTATACTAATTTCGATAATAACGTATCATAGACTGACTTTAAAATTCGAGGAATCAGCAGATTATTTTCCACTGGTTATATGCTGTCCCTACCGAAGTTTGTTGATAGTTCAATTATCGGGAGGAGGAGGCGTTTTCAGGCTCTTCAGTCTTCATCATGAAATGTCTTTGTTTCAGATTAAAAACCATCAACTTGGGGAAAACAATAAAAATTACAAAACGTGATCGTTACCGGATGATGCTCTATAAAACGTAACAAAACAAATATTTATGGAAAGTGAGAGTGACAAGAGGGATATCCGCCAGCATATGCTTGCTCTTCCTCTTCTCGTCTTTTTTTATCTAATTAAAAATAAAATGGAGATTGTGTAGTGCCAGGTCAATGAAAATTATCCACTCGACAGCTCCAACAATGCATCACGGTGATGGCTTCTCTGGTATGTGATTTTGGCATTTTGCATGACCTGCTCAAATTAAAAGATCAACTTAATCATATATAGTTTATTAGTTAAAAAAAAAAAAATGCCGTTGAACATAGTATTGGGGAGAAGTGGAAGAAACCACCATTTCCGCGCTGTCATACGTGAGCCAAAGGGCGATTAGACGTATAGTTTATTTTGTGGTTGATTTAAGTGACTTGTAAGATGCTGATTGAGATAATATAAATAATTGAAAACTATGTAATAACAATATTAAGAAAGGGATTTGTGTGCGCCCATAAACATAATAGAGGAGGAAACAAAGGCAAGAGGGGACTGTGCGTAATAATGGCAGGGGAGGGGAGAGGACCACGACGACGGGGCTGCCTTTTACTTAATGCGGCACAGGTAGAGTTTGTCTTTATGCGTAGACATGATGCACAAAATTCTGTCTCACAAGTCACAGGCCAGGCCACATGTTAAGATTCCATGAACCCCCATTTTTAAATTCTATTCAAGAAAATGAAGAACAATTGCTCATCAAGGGTTAAAAAAAAAAAGCGACAGCCAAATTTTGTGGCTGCTGGGATTCGAGCCCAGGTCTCCACGGCCACAACGTGGAATTCTTACCACTAAACTACAGCCACATCTTGAGAGATGCCTGAAGCAACACTTTAATCTTGCTTTTATGTTTCCCAATCAGCTAACAAAAATAGCTCGGGGCGCCCTTACTACGTCCAGAAGTTTCTTAAATGAAGCAACGGAATCTTCCGATCGGTGGATGGTAAGGATATGATGGCTCCATGTTGTTTGCCATCACATTTAAAATAACTTATAAAACTCTTTTCACATGCTTACATTATATTCTATAAATTATAATTAAAAAAATATTTATGAGTTATCCTAAATGAGCCCTATATTGTTCGGTTCTTCGGATTATTTCCAATCTTTGTTGGAACAAATTTGGACTGTAGAGGATTTGCAACTCCGTGTTGATCAGCTTCATCTTCACTCGACAGTAAAATATTTTCATTTTTGACCCATCGCTGATCCAATAAGTAGGAGAATTAAGGAGAAATTACTTACTTTTTTTTAATCATGTTACCATTTTTAAATTATGGTTAGAATCACGCTTGGTTTTGACGTAATAGTTTATGAATATTCAGTTTCTACGTTTTATTAATAGAAAATATGCAATTTATAAAGAGTCCTAATATTTACCCTTTGGAAAATCTAATTGCCGACGCCGCTTGAGCAGCAGGGGATCAGAAGGAGGGAAGGAAGAAGATAAGCACGTAATCCTGAGGCAGTAGTCGGCCACGCCTCACATTAAAAATAGAAAATCTGGTGAACGTTAGCTTATTATTGTTGTAAATTCTGCTCAGAGTCTGATTGGTCAATGCCCCAACACAATGCAATGCCTATCTGACAGCTGTACGAAGCCCGTCGCCACATGGGTAGTGGGGAGCGGGCCACCACGTGATAAGTGGGGTCCATCCCCTTCGCTTTCACCGCATCATTAGGGATCCTCAATCCTCCTCCCTCCATCCCTCCCACATCTAGACTGCATGTGCACGGGTCGCATACGATCACTTTCCCACCGGCCTCACCTAAGCAACGCCGCTCTATCCTCAGTCCTCGCTAGTCTGTTGGCATGACATCTCAATTTTTTATTATTAACTTTTTATTCTTAATATAAAAACTAATTTATATTTAATTTAATTTTAAATATAAAATTTTAATTTATTTTATCTCTCATATTTATTTTTTTTGCAAAGATCATTTTTATAGCGGTTACGTATGTTAAATATTTTATTAAATAATAGTTTTAGTTAATACATATTATTAGTAAGAGTCTTTGAGAAAATATAATATTTAGTTATTACAAATAATTAATTTTATTAATATACTCAAATTAATTAACTAGTTTTTATATTGAGTATAAAAAGTAATATTGATTTTTTGAACCTCATATTTTTGTTATTATTTGATAGAAAAGGCTTTATTTTATTTATGATGTGAAATGAATCCACTACTGTTGTTGGTCAACGGTGAAAATGTGAAGTTCCCATGTGCTGGGTAGGAAACAAAAGGCAAAAGTAGAACCAACATGGAGCGGTAATAGGGACATGGCTTCCCATTAATTGATAGCTACCGGCATTGGAGTGCCCATCCTCGACGAAGGGAAACTATAATCTTTGCTAGAATAGCTGTGGTGGGAAAATGAGTGTTTCCTTCATAAAATTGCATGTTCAACAGGTGATCGTGTCTTTATCCATTTAGAATTTAAAAACTACGCCGTCCTTACCGGCTCAAGATGTTTGGGTTGGATTTTGATATTTTTAAAAACTCATCACGAAACATGCTCTGGATGTGGACCCGATCAATCCAGATGGATAAAGAAAAGCCCCGAAGGCACTCAAGTACAGGAAGGCACAGCCAACATCAACCCATGATAACTGTTCCATTTTCTCCACTCTCACCTGGAAACTCATCCAGGGAGGAGTTTTGGACGATGAATTTTTGTTAGTTTCTTTTAAAATCTTCATTACATTATCCTGTCTCCCAATATTAATTTTTTTTATGCACTGCATGTTTTGTTAACTAGTTAATATTATTTTTAGCTCCTGAAGTTTGATTTTCAATTTTTAAAATTTAAAATCAGTAACTAATTAGTCCCTAAAGATTTGATTTCATTTTGGTTTATCTAAAATTTTACGGTCCTTAAAATAATATTCAAAGGAACAAAACTATGTTTTTTTTCAAATTTCAGCCATCAAAACTAAAATGAGACCAAACTTTAGAACCTGGAAATAATATGAACCCTTTATTCAAATCATATATTCCCCAAAGAATACACAACATCATCACCCAAGTCACCCGATATCATGACTTATTTTTGCGATACTACATATTGGAGAGTGGACAACTCGCGAGGCGAGTCCCCCCTCTCAGGGACCAGCGTGAGGTTCGGTTCGGTTCGATTCGATTCCCACTTGGGTGAATATCAAAGAATTCTTCTAATTTTCTCTTAATCTCGATCTTGTACGCTGCTCTTGACTTCCTTCATTCTTCCTTTCTCTTTCTTTCATTTACTCTCTTTTCATTTGAAGACAATTACAATCAAATCAACGCCCACTACGCACACCAAGCAGGAATTAAACTCATAGCTAACTTTCAGTCGAAAAAGATTTGATGACGCTAATGGCATCAGGCCAACGGCATGTGCGTGTGTGCCTACGTGTATGAGCGATGCATTATATTAATATACTACCCCTGTATCTAATATAAAAATTAATTAACTAATTTAAATAAATCATTCGTCACGTATATGAGTTGATTTTTCCAACTTACATTTAAATATTGCTGTTTTTGAGTGAAAACCCCTTTAATACATGTAATCAATAACAATATTTTAGCGAGTAAGTTATAAATTTGGAGAGAAAAACAAATTAAAAATTTATATTTAGTATCAAATTAAATTCTCAACTAGTTTTTATATTAGGCATCTAAGGTGGTAATATATTTTTTGGCAAAGGTGCATTATCATGTACTATTGATATTATCTTTTAATTTAATTTCGTTTAGATTCGGCCGGCTACCAAACTATGTTTAGATTTAGACGTCTCTCCCAATATCTCCACATCTCCTTCTTCGTGTTCGGTTGTTTCTCTCGTTTTGCTTTCCCATGTTGTCTAATAGAGGAGTGAAGGAGTCCAAATGAGAACAAAGAAAACAACACTTCTCCCAATCCCAACGACCGAGTCCTCAAAATAAAATAGTTCGCTTTTTTTTTTTTGGCCTGAAAGTATTCAACCTAATATGTAGTCCTTTTCAGTATTATATTTAGTATCAACTAGTTTTTAATGTATGTAAAATTTTGGAGCATTTTTCTAATAATACTCCATATTCTAAGTTTAGATTGCTAATTACTATTAAGCAAATAAAATTACACCAAACGTTATATCAGAATACATAGTATTATTAAAAAAAAACTTTATAATACTGAATACACTAAAAATTAGTTCCAAATATTGAGCACCACTGAAAAAATAGTGTTAGATGTAAATTCTATTTGTTTGACAATCAGATTGACAGGGTCTTCCCCGTTTAAAAGAATGGATTGTTTGAATATCATATCAAAATTTCCCATTCAGTACGTTTTATAAGAAATATATTTGATACTATGGGAGATTATATGATTATTTTTGTCCGTAAGAATAATAAGAGCCAAAATTTGTGTATTTAATGAACAGCGGCGTTAAAGGGTGAACGGGATAAAGAAGTGGGGTTTGTACTGTAAGTGGTCAAGAATTGCTGCTTGAATGAGGGCGGGAAGGGTGATGATGGAGAACCGTCCAAAAGGGGGTTTGCTTTCGGCTGGGGAAATCAGATGGGCGACGCATCGTCTGGAAAAGGATGGAAGCTTAAGGAAACGTGCATTTTGGACGCAGCAGTCTATTCCCCGGGCCTAACCATAGATATCTCTCCGCATGGGCCCATTTTCACTGCCGCAATATCAAGCTTAGCCACACAAGTTCCATCAACCCCTCCCCCTCCCTCTTAATATTAAAATTAGAGCGATTTCTTTTTTCTCTCTCTGATTTTCTTTTCAATAATGCACATGATGTCTTGAGCTAATGACAGAAAGCAGTTTGGCGGCATTCGTTTTCTGGATTGTTGAAACTAAAACGGCAGCGAAGGCAAGGGTGAAATACTTGTTTCCTGCGAGTGAATTCTGGAGTCGTAAAGTGGAGCAGTGAAGCACGAGGCCCTGCCAATTGAAGATATTGTTCCGATTTGTGGGCCTCCCCTTAAGCCATACTAACATAATCTTCAACCCATACCTTCCCATCCACGTCATAACCATCCTCTCAATGTCTCTGTGATGGATATGAAGAGGGTCTTACGTCCAATACCAATACTGAAAAAGTCTCAATGTGAAGGGATTAATTACTATTATTAGCAGTGGATACTTCTTAAGAAAAAGGTTAAATCTCATACGGTGTATGAGCGTATGTAGGCAATACGCATATCTAGTCCAACGTGCATGCATCTTATCAATCATAGCAGGCGTATGCGGTTTAACACATGGTTATTTTAAAAAACTATTACTTGCAGAGCTTTACGCCTATAAGATACCGCTCGATTTAATTCATATCAGTTAGACGTCTATGCAGCTTTCAAAACTAGGGTAATGAAATACTACCTCTGTTTTAGAATATAAAATTTTATTTGATTTTTATTTTGATCTTAAATATAAGATACCAATTCATTTGGTCTCTCATATTTATATATATATTTTTTCCTAAAATAGTTCTTCTAATAGTGATAGTTCTAGCAAGCATAGTTGATTAGCAAGGATATTTTAGAAAAGATAACACCTATTTATTACAAATAACTAAGTTAACTTTTTTCCTTAATGTCCTCAAAATTAGTCAACTAGCTCTCATAATTAGGACAGGAGGTAGTACCAAAAACACAAAGCGGAGGTGAGAGTTTTATATTCCTAATTGTGTACCGGCACACTGGAACAGACAGTAGAGCTTTTCTTTTTTATATAACCACATAATTCTTTTTTTTTTTTTCCAAGCAAAGAATAAAGCGTTTTTTGATAAAAAGTGCAATTTGGATCTGAAGCCGTCGGCCTTAAAAAGTTTGGACGTGAAGCCCGGCGTTGGGTTATTTAGCGCAGACCGTGTGGATAACCGAGATATCATATAAGAGGAGAGTATTCAGATAAACGAGGCCCTTGGGGCTTATTGGGCCCTGAGTCCTGTACCAAAACAACACTGGGAGTCTCTTCCTCCCTAGCGCGGCTCTCGCAAATGCCTCCATGCATTCCCTGCTCCTTCCAATTTTGTTCTTGCCAACGCTCGTTTCAATTATTTGACTTAGTTTACTTAATTTTGAAAAAAAAAAAAACAAGAAGAAGAAGTTACTCGTTATTGTTTCCTGTTAAAATGATCCATTTTTACTCCGTTGACAAAAAGAAAAAAGGTTATGTTAAATGAGACGTTGTAGAACCCAGAGTATCAAGTTTGGGTGCAGGACCATGAGCGTCGGCGGATAAATAAATAGCGATAACTACAAATTTACGTTTTGCCTGAAGTTTTGGATGAATTACATAGAATATATGTATATCTTAAGATCAAAACAAGTGGGTGACATTCGGAAGTGCCATATCACATGTTTGTTTCACCTGGCTACGGCAAACAGGGACAAATAGACCAAACCTGAAATATGGGTGGAGTTGGCACAGGGTCGTTATCCTTGGAGGACTATCCCTATGCGGCCCTCCCACTCTAAATTTTTCCTCTCATCACTGACGCAATAATGGAGATGCACGTTCATTCTTTTCTCACGAGTAGAATATTCGTCTGCTTCCTCTAAATCCCATTTTAAAATTAATTTAATTTCAATTCATAAATATCACATTTGTTAAAACAGTACATGGGTGATTTTATATGTCCGAATAATAATAAGTGGACAGACATGTAAACATCCAAAGTTTAAATAAAATATCCTGACCTGAGATCTCAGCCTGCGACATTGGATTAGATCTGCAGAGGTTGGAAAAACCACTGCAAGAGAGTAAGGAAGAAACCTCAGAAGTTGTTCTGAACATACAATTGCAGTGTATATATGGAGGAGACAGATGGTAATGTTGGTGTGGGAAGGCTGTGAATATATTATAAGGACCGACAGGAAACAGTACTATGCGGTCTTGTCATGTGAAGAAGGAAATTAAAGCCATATATGTGTTGTCGCTCCATGATCACGTTTCATCTGGTGGCCTCCCTTCTGCATATATTTTCTATCCATATGAATAATTAATTAGCTAGCTAGCTAGCTTGCGCTAGGTTTTGCATTTTTCACGGAGCTCCCAACTGCAGCAACGGAGTGTGGAGGTTACAATATGGTATGTTTTTTCACGCTTCATGTGAGTATGTCTGCTTCATGCTCCTACCTTAAGCAACACTACTGTTAGATGCCGCCGCCACGCTTGTTCGTTTACTGTCTGTCACTTCTAGAAGAAAGCGATGGCAGTTTACATACACACAGCGAGTAGTTTAATTCTCATTTCTGAAAACCACGTTAAACCTACTGCCTCATCACCTAAAAGTGCGTCATTATATATATTTTTTCCAACGCATTGACTGTTATCCATCATGCCCTCAACAACGTCTCCATTTAATAATTACTGTATTTTGCATGGTCATACGTATAAAAAGTTAAAACTGATCCAAGTTCGATCGGTTCCATTTAAACTGTATAAATTAAACGTCATCATGACGTTCTAAAGTTGCTGTTGAAACACGTACTTTAATTTGAAACATGGGTATCCCTTTCTAAAGCTTCAAAATTTTAGTGCTGCTCCACCACTTTAGCTTGTGGCGAATTATGATTCACAGTGCATGCCTTTGCACATTCATATATATATATGTGTGTGTGTGTGTGTGTGTGTTGCGAATCTTCATCTTGACCTTCCTAATGTATATCCAGATACACACACACACACACACACACACACACCATCTTTTCTAATTATGAAAGAAAAGCAAAGAAAGGGTTGCTGTGTTATTAAAAGAGTGGCACCCTGCATGTGATGAAGTGTGAAAGTGGATTATTGTGGGAAGCTAAAATAATGGAATGCATGTTATGTGCAAAACATAAGGTGTTATTCGCACCGGCCAACTCGCTTTGTGTCTTGTCTAAGCTTAAGCAACATTATTTCTCGCATAATGATTGACCACTACATATAATATTAGAAGGTGGAGAGGTAGTAGTAGTGCAGGGAATTAATTCTTGCGTTAGTGATGTATATACATAGTAATTAACAATAAATCAAGTAGAATCGCCAATAATTGAAAGAACAAGAACAGAGAGAGAGAGAGAGAGAGAAGTGAAGTAGATGCTTTGCTTTGAGCGAGTAACAGCAGGTAACCTACATGTATAACTGATGCTGGCGTTTCAAGTTACGTGCCCCTCACAACCCCTAACACATATAGAACTCCTTACGCTAAGAATCTCTCTTCCCCTCTAGTCCTCACATACTCTATACCTTACACCACCAAACCCGCTACGTACCACACTCCACCACCATCCAATTCCATCCCTATATCTCTCTTCCTTCCTTTTATTTTATTCTTTTCATTTCTTCTCCTACGTATATATTATATTATATTTAACGTAGCCTCAACCCTAGCTAATAATTACTTGGGCCTCTATATACGAAACGAGTAGTTTCACGCGGTATTAATTTTTATTTTAATTTTATGAACAACAAGTTGACCATTATAGTAGAAAATACTCTTTTAGTGTGAGAGCCTGCACACAGTTCGATCCAGTTCAGATTTCCGTGATGGAGGCAAAATTGTAAAGGCTAGAGTCTGTGTTGGATGAGGAAGACAGAGTCGTAGTCTCAATATGGTGCATTTACCGACACCTAATGATTGGTTATAAGATCTTGATAGAGATCATAATAATCAAATAATTAGCGTGATTATTGGGTTTGTATATATTGTCCAGTGAGGACAATCACAAGTGGTTGGGTCAACCGCACATGAACTGCCTGATTAAGTGTGTCTAGTAGCGTACTCCATTTATAAATTATACACATGTTCATCAAGCCATGGAGGCAATTAATATTAATAATATCTTAATTAATGCTAGACAAATCTCCTATCACAAGTCACGGAGGATCTCTTCTCCAACTTAAAATTTCAACACTACTTACTCTAGGAGGTTGTTGGTGATTTGCTTTTTAAAACTGGTTAATTTAGTTGAATAAGCTGTACTAAAATCACCAATAGGAGCGACGAAGAAAGGCAAAAAGGTGTACACAAAGGAGAATTAAGAGGAACACCAGCAAGAAAAGCAAACAAAGGAGATAAAAAAAGAAGCATATGATGAGGAGGGTGAAAGTTGCGAAATTCTGTGGTTCCAGGCTTGCAAACCAATCCTCCGTGAAAGGAATCGTTGGGAAAAAGTAATGGGTTTGCTTCAAAGCCAACCGAATCTCACTCGTTTCCTCGCCTCATCATACTTAACATTGCATCTCTCTCTCTCTCTCTCTCTCTCCTCTCATTACACACCTGTATCATTTTCCTTATATATAACTTCCAAGGTTGGAAACGCAACTCTGGCATGCCTAAACACGCTCATACTGTTCACGCCACCCATTAGTATATATCTCTATATTATTCAGTTATTAAGTCCCACTCTTATCCTTTGCTTCTTCCATCATCCACACCTGACCCCAGAAGAAGAAGAAGATCTAGGAGAAGAAGAAGGAGAGACGAGCCTTAATTATGGAGGTCACAGGCCAAGAACTTGTGGTGTGGAAGAAGGATCAAGCCGGCCAAGTCATGAAGGGCAAGCGCACCAAGCGTTCGAGGCTACCTTCTCCACTCAGGCTATCCATGGCTTCTTCTTCCTCCAGCGCCGGCAGAACCAGCACCGACGACAATTCCGGTGGATCATCATCAGTAGTAGATATGGCTACAACTTCAACTGATCAATTAAGGGTTAGCACAGAAGAAGAAGACATGGCTAACTGTTTGATCCTTCTGGCTCAAGGCCATACCCGTGACGAGCCCTCTTCCCACCACAACAACAACAACGATAAGGCTTCCTCCGGGCTATACGTTTATCAGTGCAAGACCTGTGATCGATGCTTCCCTTCGTTCCAAGCACTTGGCGGACACAGAGCCAGCCACAAGAAACCAAAGCCGAACAATTCTGAAGAAAAGCTGCAATCAGTTGCATTTGCGAACGAAGAGGGTCATGATCCTTATGACCCCACCGGCCCAAGCTTCGTCCTTTCCTTGCAGATATCAAATAGGGCTTCGCACAGCAGCAATAGTAACACTAATAAGTCGAAAGTTCATGAGTGTTCTATATGTGGGGCTGAATTCACCTCTGGGCAGGCTTTGGGGGGTCATATGAGGCGCCACAGAACGTTGGTGAACAATTCTGCGACGTGTACGACCAGCACCGGGAATAATAATTCTCAGCTCCAGGAAGCCAACAAGCCCAAGAATGTCTTGAAGTTGGATTTGAATCTTCCGGCACCAGAAGATGATCACAGAGAATCCAAGTTACCTTTTCAATCTAAAGAAAATGTTCTTGTTTTCTCTGCATCTTCTTTGGTGGATTGCCATTATTGAATTTCATCTCTGTCTCTGTGATTTAGTTAATTAACCTCGCCAAGAGAGGATCTATTATTGTCATTACATACCTTATTATCATTTTTTATTCGCTGATCAACTTTGCATACAGTTGTTGGTTCTTTCCATTCTTTAATGCTTAATTGATTTGATTCCCATAGCACAGAACTGACAATGTTTACTTGCTGGGTCTGTGGCTTATAACACTGTAGATGTACAATTCTTTTTTCATTCCTCTCCCAATTGATAATTGTGCCTGGGGGGCTCGCGGCCTGTCATTAATTGGTTCTGCTTCCAGACATATTTACGGTAAATTAAACGAATATTCTTAATCAAATCCATATATTTCCGATCCGGGAGACCTGTCACATATAATCAGCCCAATGTTCGAGACATCTTTTCCGTAATTTGCATGCTTCAAGCCTTCAACTTACTATATATGGTTTTCAATTTAACATCTATGGTAATAAAGGCATGGGTTTAAACCATCCAAGTTTTTTTTTTTTTGGTTCAAAAAACCATCCAAGTTTGATAAATGAGTCAGAGTAAGTTGGGTTGGACCAAATCAAAGTAAAAGAACTTGCAGCTTAGAGACCAACTTTAAAATCTCATCAACTCGTCTGACGCAAGATTGGTAACGTTTCACAGTTGAAATATATACATGAAACCAGTTAAATCAACCAAGATGAGGTGACCCCGCAAACACTCTTGATGCTGCTTGCAGACCATGGAACTGGCAGTAATTTCCACCTAATCAGAAAAGGATAAAATTATTAATTGCGCCAGGTTCTGGTTCTAAAAGTAATTTTGTGAGGCTCCCCAGCCACTATTTGGTTCTCTTTTTAGGTATGCAACTTATAGTTTCATGCTTCTAAGGGGTAACGAACCCCCGTTTTCATATTCAGTTGTTTTCTGATCGATGTGGTATTTAAATATTAACGTCCTTCTCACAGCAGTTCTTTTTGAGAGATGCAATTATTTATAAATTAATCTGATAAATGAAAATCAGTAAAAATGAAGGAACTACATAAATAATACTCTTCTGGTTCTAAATATAAGATTCTTTTTGTAGTGTAAAGGAGTCCTAAATACGAAAGAGGTTTTATATTTAGGATCAGAGGAGTAATACTATGTACCCTCCTCAATTTTTGTCATCTCTCTTTGAAAAAGAAAAACCCATGTCGCCAACTGCTGTTAAGGGACTTCCTCAAGAAAAGGTACAGGATGATTCATCTCTTTTTATAATGTTTGAGGCATACTATTATGGACAGCAAATATTCATGATGAAAATTTTAGATATCAGCATGTATAAATTTAAATACACGCCAAGTACTTATACCCATTTTCATTCTATGGAGATGAACCAGATTTTACAGTAATTTTTAGTAAATAGTTGAGGCTACAGATTGGGAAAAAACGCCATGCTTTTCTTGAGGATAATCCGTCATGACTTGTATTATAATTTAATTAAGTACATGTCTTTTCGTATATATAACGTCTGTCAGCGAATGATACTTTTTATAACTTGTGAAGAACATATTAGCTCTGCTCTTTTTGATACAAGAACTAGTTGATTAATTTAAATGGATTAAGAAAATAAGTTAAGTTAGTTGTTTGTAATAAATAGGTATTATTTATAATTTCTAAAATATCATTATTAATCAAGTATCATTTGATAAAATATTTAATATATGCAACTAATATGAGGACTATCTTGAAAAAAAATGGATAAATATAAAAGACAGAATGAATTAGGGTTTTATATTTAGAACCAGATTAAAAGTCAAACAAGCTTTTATATTAAAGATAGGAGGTAGTACTCCTCCAGTTCTTAATATAGGACCCAATTCTTAAGTTGGTTTTGATCCTAAATATAAGACCCATTTCTCATATTTATCAGTTTTCTCTAAATTACCCCTATAGATACTCCCTCAGTCATAATCAAGTAAAAGAGGAAGAAAGGGTATTAAGAAAGATAATTATGGTGTTTTAGAAAAAATGTCACTTTTCTTATAATTAACTAACTTACCTAATTTCTTTAATATAATCAAATTAGTTAAATGGGTCTTATATTAAGGACCGGAAGAGTACTTTATTATAAATTTTACATTGTGCATCGATCCCGATTCTTTAATCATATATATAGATTCGTCAAATACAGACTTAATTGCTTTGATGAAATTTTGCGCCTACCCAATTAAATATCTATTTTGAGTTTTGACCGACTAAATTAGTTTAGAATATCTGTATATAGTATAAATTATAAATTTAATAATCACCCTAAACAAAAATTTATAAATATTACATGCAATATGATATAATTACGTTTGAAAATTATAATTTCACCCATTACTTTAGAACATTAACTCGATAATTTGTCCTTTAAAATATTAATTATGCGTTATCTTATCTTACATGTGGTATGGACAGTGAAATAGATGTAATTTTGTGAATAAAAATATTATTGGACCTTTAAATAAAGAAGTTATAAAAATAATTATTATAATTATTGTCAAGCGATGACTTGAAAAATATAATAAATATTCTAGATATTTCACCAAAAGAATATTTTTTTTAAAATTTTTTGGTACAGTACCTGATTATTAGATTTTTCTGGAGCTGAATGTACCTGATTATTAGATTGAATTTAATTATTACGCCGGAAAAACAACTGTAGCCCCCTAATGTGATATTGGCATGGCTCATGAACATGAAGTGAAAGGGACTTTCCCCGGGGCTGTGGCCGTCAGCCTAAACGGTAAAACGACATATTGTTAACACCGTTTCATTCTGAAAGCGTAATTCCACTTGTGCTTGGTGGGGATGTTCAAATAGGAGCGCCGGCCCCGAGGATCCCCCGTAGGCAGGTAAAGAGTGGCCGGGCAGAATGGCGGTTCCGGGTAGGCGCAATGGCCTAAACGACGACGACGACGACAACTTCGAAGATGACAATGCCCTCTTTGAAGAAAATGGCCTATTGGAGCTTGATGAAATTGATACGCCTCCTCATCTCCGCGACCTAGCTGTCGCCTCTCAGTTTGGTGACCTCGATAACCTCCGCCTTGCTCTAGGTTCCCACTTCTTGCCTTAATCTCCTCTGCTGAACTCTGACCCCCTCTCACCTGTATTTTTCCTTCAATTTTTTAAAGTGATGTTTCAACCTCTTCTAATTTCTGTTGCTTGTTCAAGGTGCAAACTAATCCTCACGTTCCGCTCTCCAATAACTGAGTTATAGCTATTTCGATTGTGCTTCTTTTGGCTGCTTTTTTCAGTCTGCGAATTCCTCTGGACTCCGTTTTATGCTTTTATCATTCTTTTTTTTTGAACTTTTTTTTTACGTGTGGTTCGTTTAACTTATTGATGTTTGAAATATGCTGGCGGCTGATGCAATATGATAGCTATTTAGCGATTCTGATTGTTCAGGCGAATATATTTCTTCATGACCGAAATGCGTGCCCCTATATACTGCTGAGTGCCTAGCGACATAAAATTTTCTCGAATAGTATTTAATGGGTTTAAACTGCATGAGCATAAGTTTCTTGGGCGGATATATTTGGTGTGGGCGGTTCGTTATCTTCCATGTTGGTCGACACAATATTGGCAACGAGGAAAAGTAGGGGGGGGGGGGTTTGATTATTAGCTTAGTATGGTTATGCCTTTTCATATGTTATAATTTGAAGGTGTTGGAGTGTAAGCCTTTAGGCATCAGAGTTGAGTGGAGCGAAATAGTTGAGTCTGTTAAGAGTTGTCTATAATATACTTATTGTTAAAGGACTTAGTGTTCTTAACTGATGATCCTTTATATAGTTGTATATCAGATGATGGAGAACATCTATTATTGGAAATGAAGTTCTTAATTCTAAAGTCTCTCTCTGCTCTTCTATTCTTTCTATTCAAATTCTCTCTCGACCAATCGGTGGTATCTATTGACCCACTGACCCAAGGCTGAAGCCGTCCATTCCTAAGTCTACCTGACGGCTGCATGACATGGATGATAAATTGAGATTATCGTCAGAACAGAACATGTCGACTATGGTAGATGGTTGAATGTTTACCATAGAGTGCATAGGATTTCGTGAGAGGCATGCAACAGCTCTGAGAAGATTTGTCAGGCCTATCTATGAAGGCTTAATGTAAGAATTGAGGCAATTAAGGCAGAATGGAAGTGCTATAGAGCATTAAATAGGTTTTTTATGATCTTTCATTCAAAATAAAGTTGTATAAATATTAATTGATCATTTGTTTTATAGCTAGATTGTAGGAGGACAGTTCAAGATGTGAGATAATTTAAGCTAAGAACATTATTGGACACCATGAGAACGGCAAATTACAAGAATTCAGTCGTGAGTCAACAAATAGAAATGGAGGAAGGAAGAGTGCAGCAAAGTTACTATTGAGGAGTGGCGACACTTTCGGCAGCCAGGAAAAACAAGCTGTTGATATTGGAGAACACAGGGCAAACCTGTTTTATTTCTGTCATGAGAAGTTTCCTTTAGGACATGAACGTGTTCAATATAAGATGCTATTGTGTTTGATGGAGATAAGAGAAGATACAGAAATGGAAGAACAAGCAACTATAAAATAGAATGACAGTGGGAGGCGCAACTGTATTGGATGCTACTTAGGTCTAATGTTATGGTTTTCAAAGGATGTATCCTTTTTGTAGTAATGATGGTTGTCCTTGAGGACTAGGCTTTCAAGGGGAGGGAATATTGATAGGAATCAGAGTAGATAGGAATAGTTAAGTCTGTTAATACTTATAAATGAAAGACTTATTGTTAAAGGAGTTAGTTATGGTTAATGAACTATTCTTGTCTTACAGATGAAGGAGAATAGGTTACGATTGTTAATGAAAGTTCTGAATTCTTGGTGTAGCTCTTTTATTTCTTACTCTTTCCACTTCTCATCTCTTTCTACCTATCATCAAGATGCTCATTCACAGAAAGAACAAATTCCATTGAAAGTAGATGTGAAATACGGAGATTTGATTTAGCAGGGGTATCCTATTTTTTCTTTAGTGATTGAAATCAGAATTAGATATCTCATTCTGCCTCGACTGAAGAAAGAGTTGAGCTTATAGGTTAATTGGTCGCTGCAGCCAATAGAAATTGCAGAGTTATTTTTTTTATTTCTATGACATCTATAAATCCAGTAGAATGTTGGATCATATTTATGCTGGTGCTTACACTCATTCTGCATAATTGCAGATAACTTGACTGGAAGTATTGATGAACCTGTAGAAGATGGGGATACCGCTCTACATCTGACCTGCTTATATGGCCATTTATCGTGTGTTCAGGTTTGTCAACCTTGCTTATTCCTTTTTCGATATGTCATTGCAAAAACTTTAATGGATAACTGATAAATGTTTCAATTAAATGCAGCTACTTCTGGAAAGAGGAGCGAACATGGAATGTAAGGATGAAGATGGTGCTATTCCATTACATGATGCTTGTGCAGGAGGTAATATGCAATTGTCTTCAAGTGTTAATCTGACTCACTTCACTGGAATGTTATTATTATTATTTTTATAAAACTCTTTTAACGACCATTTCAGGGTATGCTGAGATAGTCCAACTGCTACTTAACAGAGGTGATAATGGCAATGCAGAGCATATAAGGAGGATGCTTGAATCAGTTGATTCAGAGGGTGATACGGTGAGTATTTTTTCCAAAAGCTCGCATTTAAGCTTCTAACTATCAGCAGTATAGTTGAATCAACTATAAAATTGTGTAGTCTTGATCCTCTACATTTATAAAGATTGCAAATATTTTATGTACTAAGAGATAGAAAAGATATGATGGTAGTCAAAATGAGATGTTAGATGATTGTAGGGCACCCAATTTTAAAAGTGTATTATTATGATTGTTGTTGTTATTATTATTGGGTGCTTCTCACCATAGAATGGAGGGCGAGGGTGAAATTCCTCGCTTTCGGCGGTTTGGATAAAATAGATGGGTCTCAGTCCTCACTTCACCTGCGATATAATATTGCATCGGTTTCTGATTTGCTCTTCATCATTATCTTGTAATTGTTTCTGCAGCCTCTCCATCACGCTGCTAGAGGCGAGCATGTTGATGTCATTAGGTTATTGCTGTCTCATGGTGCATCTCCCACAAAGACCAACTTATATGGAAAGGTAAAGGTTAGGAGAGTACAAGAAATTTCCTTTTCTACCCTGCATCATATTCTGAATATTATTGTTGTTGGCCCCCAAAAAAAAAAAAAAAAAACTGGATTAATTTTCGCTTGGCAGACCCCAGCAGAATTGCCTGACCACGGCACAGACGCAAGGAGATTGCTGGAAGCCGCGGCTGCTAGTTCCATACCATCTCACTAGCAGTGTGATTGGTGTGACGCGTTGAGATTCATGTAAACAGATATTCTAGTTTTGATGTCGATCCGTTAAGCTATTGCTTGGATAGTGCTGGAAATTCAAAAGTGATACTACAGAGAACACGTCAGTTCCTTTTTAGTTTTTACCTTTATGCTGATTTCAGACGATGATCGTATTTAGGCCAGATTAGGAAAACTTAGATGCGTGAGCTTAATATTTCAGGTTAGCTTATTCAATCATAAGAATATGTGAACTTTTTGTTCCATCTCAATAATTCAGCCGCTCACTCCCTTCGCTGACGCCGTTGAAAAATCGTGAAAAAATTTAGGACGGACTGAGTTTTTCTCCCTTAATCTCATTTTGGGACTTGGATTCTTTTATCGATGCATTGAACGGCTTAATCATTGAGACTCGGAAAGGGACAAAATTTCACCCGCAATTTATTTTCAAACCAGATTTTGGGGCGGGTGCTTTATATAAATCTGGAAGCAAGTTATCGTAGTTGGACATCTTGTATGGTTCCTGATCAGGCCATGCAGTATAGTTCCTGATTGGTCCGGCCTTTGAATCCACCGACTTCATTTAGCACTAGATCTCCCGTCACCGCTATTACCCGAACTGTGGAACACGCATCGCGATCACAGGTATGAAGTATCCTGGGGTTTTCCATCACTTCCTCTTCTGCTAGACAAATGAAATAGAGTGAACCAATCTCTTGTCTCGAGAGCCGTGTCCTGTGAATCGGGGAATGGAAGAATCGAGATGCTTGTCCGTAGGCTGAAGAAAAATGCAAATTTGATGAGATTGATATTGTAGATTCAGCAAATCGGGTAAATTTTTTAAGAATAATATAATGAGAACAGTTATGAAAGTTCTCTGAAATTTAATTAATCTATAGACAAAAATGCAGCTTCAAGAAAATTTTCATAATAAACATAAACGTCACCTCCAGTATTTGAAAAGAAAGTCGAGACAAGTTAAATTTATAATTTGTTATAGGACGTAAATGATACGTGAATGAAAATTTTTATTTAGCAAAGAAATCAATATTATATATTGGTTAAAATATAAGTTTAAAAGAAGAACAGTACGCAGTTATGCACTGGAGCGTAAGAAATTACGAAAGTACTTTGTGCGAGACCGTGGTATACACTGTTGCGATTATGACTAACGTCTGGCATTAGGCTCTGAATCTCATATATTGTGCAGCCCTTTAAAGAAAACCAGAGACTGCCGTCGTGACCTGAGCTTGTAGGAGTAGGAGCAAACGCGGCCTGTGGGTAAAGTCAGTTTCTTTGTGCGAAACCCAAAGCGGGGTGTCTGCGTGTGAACTGGTGTCCCTATTCCCTTGGGGACAGAATAAACCCGACAAATGTGAATGCATTTTGACACAAGTACAGTAGGGACAACGTCGGACAATGAAAGCCACCCTGTCACTGTCCCGTTGCCAGCCTCATTCGTCAGTGTCCCCACCCCCTCTTCAAAAAAAAAAAAAAAAATCTCTTCACCTTTTTAGTCTCGGTCTCCCATTATGCTCTCTGTTCTCTTCCATGTTCTTCCTCAGGCCACCTTCCTTTGTTTATCAACTTTTCTTTCCTTTGCAGGCCAAAGAGGCGCTGTTGATGGCAATATAGAAACCAACTCCAGTTATCGATTGCTCTGTTTGGACCATCAGGATATTTCCCGAATCATCCACATTGATACCCTTTTGATCTCAGAGACGGGCAAAAGTTGGCTTTGTTTGGGCCCAAGAATTCAATGGTCTGTATCATCGATACAGACATGAACATTCAAAGGACAGCTATTTTTGAGGTCATTTGTCTTTTTTTAGGTATTACGTTCAAATGTTGGGACGAAAAACGCCGAGATATATATCTTAGGAAAAGATGTTGCTGTTACCGCATGAGATCATGGGCTGTTTCTTCTCCCAGATTCAAAACAAATCCTCACTGGAGAGCAATATGCCTGTCACTATTATGATATCTTTATAAAATGTTGATTATTTTATTCATAGGTCAATTACTATATAATAGCGACTTCTTTATTTCAAGGTATATTGACCCAGAGTTGTTTGTTATAACTGATTATAAATCCTCATATTCACTTCTGAAGTTGGAAACAGTTAATTAGTGATCTCTCAATAATACCTTGAAAGAAGACAAGGAAATGTTTGGGAAGCACAAAGAATGTAAATTAAACAATAAAAAAGCGAACAGCTGTCATGAAGGCACCAATAGAAAGCATCGTAGAAATGAGGACAAGGACAAGGCCATTGGGACCTTTTCTGCCTTATCCCAGGTTTGGCCACCACAGTCTGTCACGCTCTGTCTTCCTTTTCTTTCGTTTTTGTTTTGCATCAGATTTTGGTCGCTGTGATATAACGTAAGCTTAGTATTAAGCTCTCATTTGCTCTCTCCCTCCTCTCCCTCCCTCTAGAGTTGTGACTTTCGAGTTGTGTGAGAGTTCAGCCTCACGGTAAAACGACTTTGATAATGGCAGTAGCAAGATCACGCAACGATTACGACTGCCTTATCAAGCTCCTTCTCATCGGTGATAGCGGCAAGTTATTCTTTTTTTTTTTTTTTGTTTTATCCTTCTTTTCGATTTTTGGGTTAAGCTATGCACTCTAGTTTAAAAAGTTTTAGCTCGTAATCGTTTGTTAACTTGTGGGTTAGCTGCTGATTGTTATAATTTTGTGTAATGATTTGGTTCGTTGTGGTGGTGAAAAATTTAAGATAAATTGTTTGGGTTTTGGTCTCTGTTTCATACAAGAATCAAATGGAGCTCGTGTCTGTTTTTCGGTATTCTTTGCCTAATTGACTTATCGGAAAAGTTTAGATTAAAAATCCAGCAAGATGGAACCACCGCAGAATTTGCCAAATGTTATCTGTAAATGTTTTGTCTGTTATTTGTGGTCCTTTGACTCAACAGGACCATCCACATGAACTTCGCTGTTTTCTTCGCTCCTTGTCCAAATCCAATGATTTGAATAAGAGCACCAGAGCATGCTTAATCAACGGCTTTTTTCTTAATACAGTAATTATATTTCAATTAAGTACGACGACGAGAGAGAGCCCTGTATATATAATAATTATTTATTGTTGCGCGAGATTTGCTATTTCCACCATTTATGCAGTTTTATCTTTGTGCTTTGAGCTAAAGCTATGCAAGTTTCCTCGTTTCCTTCAGCAGTGAGTGATGTTTGAGGCCATTTGAATTGCAGGAGTAGGAAAAAGCTGCTTATTGTTACGTTTTACCGATGATTCTTTCACTACTAGTTTCATCACTACTATCGGGTACGTATGCAAAACTTTCCCAGAAGGAATTTCTTTCAGGGGATTTCGGAAAATCACAAAACATGCATATATGCTTCATGGTCTCCTGAGTTATCAGTGCCTGTTTCAGGATTGACTTTAAGATTAGGACAGTTGAGCTTGATGGGAAACGCATTAAAATGCAAATATGGGACACTGCTGGTCAAGAACGTTTCCGAACAATAACCACTGGTACTTCTTTTAAATGACATTATTGAAGCTTTCTATCGTTGCTCCACAAAAAAGGATGAAAATTCGGGTTAAATTATTTCAATTTGTTTCTATAAGCATGATCAATTAGCTGATATTGTTCATTGCTTCTTATAGCTTATTACAGGGGCGCCATGGGAATATTGCTGGTCTACGATGTAACAGATGAAACATCCTTTAACAGTATTAACCTAACTAGCTCCACCTGATTTCCTTTCACTTGAAGTTTAGTTGGCTCGAATTACTGAAAAGGATTAAATAATGATGATTTTTTTTTTAATTATGATATGTGTAGACATCAGGAACTGGATCGTGAACATCGAGCAGCATGCATCTGATAATGTTAACAAAATTTTGGTCGGAAACAAAGCTGACATGGATGAGAGCAAAAGGGTACTGATTGGAGCATGTTTAGACGTGGGCTCTGTTATTATATCATAACTTACGTTATAATGTCCTTTGTAGGTAGTCCCAACATCCAGGGGCAAGGCATTGGCTGATGAATACGGCATCAGATTTTTTGAGACCGTGAGTAGAATGTGTACTAATTTAACTCACCATTTGTACAATTTGCGTCTTGCTAACATTTAATTTGCATAGATTTTGATTAAGCACTAGTTCTGGCTATTGGGCATTGCTTTCTCAGTACTTGTTATTAATAAAACATTCGTAAGCAGAGTGCCAAGACCAACTTGAACGTGGAGCAGGTCTTTTTTTCTATAGCAAGAGACATAAAGCAGAGACTTTCAGAGGGTGATTCAAGAGCGGAGGTGCATTTTATTGGTTTCCTTAATCTTCCCAGGAAAGTTATGGATTGTTTTTCCCAAAATTACTTTTGACTCGTCATTTTATTATGTAGCCTCAATCCATCAAAATCAGCAAAGTTGAGGCGGTCAAAGGCTCATCTGCTTCTACAGCTTTGTTACAGAAATCAGCATGTTGCGGCACATGATTTCTCCGATGTATCAGCACTTTCTCGAATACCTTATATCCCCAGCAGTGAGCTATGGGATGCTAAGCAAGTTCATAGTTTATAACGTTGTGATTCCCTCCTAAAATACAAGGAGGAAAATTTTCAACGCTTCAAGATTTGGTGTGACTGAACTGTAGTTTAGAATTGATCACAGTATTTTTTTCCCCCGTCCAGCGGACTGATTTGACGTGCTCATATTTGATGCTGTGGGGACCATCTGATTAAGTTTCGAGATGCGTAGTAGGATTTCTATTACATTGTAAGGTTTGTAATTTCGCATGACTTTGTGAAGGCAGAAATTGTGCAAGTGCCTCGTAATTTAATTTTTCCTGTCGGTGTTTGGACCACAGCTCGTTATGCAGCCAAACGTTCTGTTTCTTGAACAAAGTTGCATGCAACAGAAACTGTGAACTTGAAGGTGACATTGAAACTGAGAGATCAATCGTATTTGCACTGGCTTTATTGATCTCGACAAAATACAGGCAAGAAAACAAAGAACGAAAGAGCAAACAAATTTACACCAGGCTAAACAGGTGTAATTTGAGTGGCAGTTTCCACATTTCGGCGGTACAAGAATAAAGCAACTGAAAGACAACGGCAACAGTAAGAAACTAGAGAAGAAGCTTACATATACATTATATGTCCAAGATGCGCTTGTCAAGACTCAAAGTCCACAATGCTGCATTTTAGGAGCAACAACTACCATGTTGCTGTGCTTGGGGTTCCTGTTTCTGCTTTAATACATTCCTTTTTACGGTTGATCCTTCTTCCAAAAGACTAGGAACTTCCATAATCTACGAAAATTTTCCAAACTCGACGTTTTTGAACAGGGCAAAAAATGATATGCAGTATAAAAAATTTAAAGAATTATGTCAATTCTCAGGACAAATGGCTAATTATTAAAAACCATGCACATATGCATCCGTTTATTTCTGTTTCAAATATCATGTCTATTATCTTATAACTATCAACAAGCTTAGCACGTTCAAACATCAGTTATATGAGGTAAAACACCCCCCCCCCCAAAAAAAAAAAGGCAAAAGGCACAAGGGCATCTAAAACTGTACCTTTAGAGCAAGTTCTTCAAAGCATTGATCCACCTTTTCTCGAGTTTTAGCACTGCATTCGAGAAACAAACTCCCCAACTCTTTGGCAAGAGCTAAGCCCTCTTCCTTGCTAACAGCCCTTTCAGAATCCTAAACAGAGAGAACCCATAAAAGAAAGTAAGAAACAGAACACATCAGAATCCTTTCAGACTTTTCATAAGTATGTACACCGTTTAGTCTCATAAATGCAAACTTACTCTATCAACTTTATTTCCAACTAGCATTTTCATGCAATCCTGGTTAGTGGAATAGAGTTCCACTTCTTTAGACCATACTTCAGATAAGTTTGTGAAGGTATCTCTCCTTGTGACATCGTAAACTGAGTGAAAATTGGAACACTCGTTAAAAAGCACTGACTAAGAAATTCCAAGTACGTAAATAAATCTTAAACAGGACATGAAAGGCAATGGCGATAAATCTGAGAATGTAACTGTTAGAAAGATAACGCACATCTGACCTCAATGTCAAAAGCAGAAAACAGCATAAATTTTTTTTAAAAAAAGCGAATATTATAAATTTATAATCCTTTATAGTGCGTAAGAGTCAAGACAGAGTTCAACAGTAGTTGCGACAAGCAAATTTTCCGTAAAGAAATTATAGAGAAGCCTTTAATGCAAAAGAACAAGCATACCGAGAATAATTCCTTGCGCTCCTCTATAATAGGAACTTGTTAGAGTTCTGAACTTTTCCTGCCCAGCTGTAACAGATGAAATCTTATTTTGTGAGTCGATACAGCATACAGCTAATGGAGTTATATATGCTAAAGAGAAAGTGATTTATCAGAAGACCCAGGCTATGTTATGAACTGAAGAAAGGGACACACTCCAGTCTATCCGTTTGCATCCAATTCGCTTGGAGCCAGAAATTCCAATGCAGAGCTAGAAGGTATAAATTTGTGAATCTGAAGCAGAGGAATTGACTATACCAGTGTCCCAAATTGTCAGTTTCAATCTCTTCCCACCTACTGTGAACACCTTGATCTTGAAATCAACACCTACACGCGATGAAGAACGAGGCAAACATCATAACAGTTTTAACACGAGATCAGACAAGAAGTCATTCTGATGACAAAAAGCAAAATCAGAGCGAAAGCGTCATTATATGCGAATTCCGTGGGATACGGAGTGATAAAGTACTGGAAGAATAGTTAATTTATAGAGACAAAAAACGTCAGATGGCCAGAATATTAAAGCAAATTCAATATCAAGAGCCATTCTGAGTTATTGCAGCAAAAATAAAATGTAGAAATCAGTGAAATTCGACGGATGAAATAGTGAATTGCAAAGAGCGGCTTCCTAAACTCATATAAATGGTCAGCAACTCTGCAAGTGAAACCGATTTGAAAATATGCCAGTTCAATAGTAGTTTGCAAATCATAGATCAGCAACCATCAGATATCATATAACTTGACAAGAATAATCTGTGAGAAATCCAGTGCTAGCATCGCATTATGTCGGATGGAACACGAATGAAAAGTAATAATACGCTTCCTCTTGTTTAGGTAAAAAGAATTTGCCGGGAACCAAACACAAGGATAAAATTGAGCTGAATGAAATGAAGTAAATACCAATGGTGGGCGAAAGATCTTCAACGGAGCCGGAAATGAAGCTGACGAGGAGACTACTTTTTCCCACGCCGGAATCGCCGATCAACAAGATCTTGAAAGAGAGATCGTGGCCACTGCTCTGACCTGAGGACGAACTCATTCTCTCTCTTTCTCTGTCTCTGCGTGATGATGAAAACTTTTTTTAAGGTAACGTGTCTATCTCTCTCTAAAAAGTACGGCGAAAGGAACGTATAATTAGAGAGAGTCAGCGAGAGGGGAAGAGAGAAAAGTTACTCTAAATTGCAATGTAATGCAACGAGGATGAGGTATCACCTTGGCATCTTAGTTCATTTATGAATGTGGCGATGCAGAGAGAGAGAGAAGTTAAAGAAAACGGCTATGTTGGCCCGAGTTGAGGAACTATCAGTTGACACACCAACGTGTTTATTCTTTTCTTTATCTCGTGACGCTTCTTTCGTTATTATTTTCCCACCTCTTTTGTTTTGGATGCCTTTCTCCTGAATCCCAGGTTCTTGTCTTTTGGATTCTTTAACGTCGTTTTCTCCCCAAGCTATCCTCTCTGGCTAGAATATCTCCTGGATGGGGATCACTTGAAAAAAAGGGGAAACATATTCGAAAATAAATCAATAGTTGCAGACCCGCCACAGCCATGACATTCATGTATTGAGCTTGGCTGGTGTTTTTTTTTTTTTTTTTAATGGGGTTGGGTTAATGCATCTGTATGGTTATGTAAACATGACTGCACGAAGATGAAAAAGAAATGGCCTGGTAAATGGGGGAACACTGATACATATGAAAGGGACTGGTCAGAAGGGATCAATGTACAAGGCTTCGTGTGCCTGACCAACAGTGGCCTTAATTTCACGAACAGAGTGGGAAAGACAAAGGGATGGTGAAGTGGCGCTGTCAATTAGAAATAGCAAGCCAAAATGGGTCCAACTGGGTGGCCACCCAACACAAAACGGCAATGTAAAGCTTCAACATTGAGCCGCAAGTCCTTGTCCGCTCCCCTCGCAACTAGGAGTGGAAATAAAACAGGCGGTTTGTTAGAGGCCTGTGGCCTGACCTGACCTATTTAGATATCAGACCAGACTTAAGGGGTGTTTGGGTTCCAACCCAAACCATGGTTTGGGAAAAAATCACCCAAATACCCTTAAAAAAACTAAAACCATGGTTTTGGGGAAAAGCAAAATTTTTTTGCTTTTGAAAAAAAAAGGGAGAGTGTGAGAGCCTATAAGATATGTATCTTGTTATTTTTTTTATAAACATATTTTTTTATAAATATATTTAATCTTATATCTTATAAATATATATACATATTAATTATTTATTATATTATCTTATTATATATCTTATGTATTATTAATTATGTTAATAAAAAATATATTATTAACAATTTTATTCCTTCAAATTAAAATATATCATAAAATATATTTTTCTGTAATTATCATATTAACTTATGCCTTTTTTAGTAATTTGTATATGTAAAAAGTGTTTCTGGTAACAATTATCCAAACACTCTCACTTCTCAGAATCACTTTTTCACAAAATCTATTCTTCAAAAAATCTATTCTTTCCAGAATCTATTCTCCAGAAGCTATTCTCCAAACCATGGTTTGGTTATATCCAAACACCCCCTTAAGCCTGTAACAAGGCCTGTTTATTTTATCAGACCAGGCTCAGGCCTGATAGTAAGCCTATTAGGCCTGTCAGGCGACCAGAGCCTGTTATCTTTTTTTTGAGGTTAAAATTGTAAATTGATAGGAGGGAATCTGCTATTCTGATTGGTTAATTAAGAAAACTCCATCCACATAAACGTGTTATCTAGAGCCTATTGCATGCTTCATTTTATTTCTATTCTCTATAATAAAAATAATTGATGTATGTATAATGACACATATTTGAACAGAGAAAGAAAACATAAGTGCATTAAAAAAAAGCATCATTCATTTATTTGATCCGTGCTTTTCATATTAATTTTATATAGAATATATATATAGAATTGACCTATTATGTTTTAGACCGTATATATGTGTGCTCAATCTAATTCTTATTATAATAGTTACTTAATTAATTTAAATAAATAAATAAATTAGAATAATTGTAATATTTTTTTAAAACAACCATGTGTAACAAAAGGATCAAATATCATTTTGTTAGTAAATTAGTTTGAATAAATGATAAATTTAAAATATAAAAAGGATTAAGGATGTTTCATATTTTAAACTAGATCTAGTTATCAACTAATTTTTATACTAGAGATGGGATGAAGTGATATTTTTATATCAGAGTGAAATTATGTTTTCTAATAATTTTTCATATTAGATTTTTTTTTGGGCATAAGGGGAAATGTTTTACAAATTGTATTAATTTGATAATTTCATATTTTTTGTTTGTATTTTAGATCAATTAGGTTGAATTATTGTAATTTTGAATTGATTTATGTGTGTTTAAAATTTGTTAAAAAAATAGGCCTCTTAACAGGCCACAGGCCAGGCTGATTAAAATGCCTTTTACAGGCCTGTTAAGGGTGAGGCCTGGCCTGACCTGGCCTGTTTCCACCCCTACTCACAACACATTCCTCTGTTTCCCACCCTCCAAGTTTCATAACATATGCCTTCCCCTCCCACTTCACCTCCATTTGTTGCCTCTCTCTTAACCAGTATGAACCAAAATGACTTAACTGTTTGATAAAGAATGCCAAATTACTAGCCTATAATGTGGCGTGAGATGATGATTACCAGCTAATAAGATTAGGATTTGTATCACTTTAATAATAAAATCCTCACAGATCGTATCGCCAAGCAAGCATTTTGTTTACGGAGTTGGACATCATTTGTGGCCCAGTGCGTAGTAGTAGGACAGCTCCAACCTTGCCTTGTCAGTTCCTCTGCACCACGTATTCCGTGTTTTATATTTTTTTTTCCTTCTAATCAGAGCATTTTCAAGTCGACTAATTTCTATTAGACTGCTAGCGTCATTTTTATTTGTTTATTTATTTTCCTTCATTTGGATCTCCATGCTCCGTATGATCTGTGGCATTTGCATGTTACATTCTTTATGGATCAAGTACAATGTGCATGTGAATCACTGTAAATCTCATTGATGTTGGATCAGGCTGCATTAAAGAATTATACAAAGCTCAGAAAACAAAAAAGAGGACGCAATGATCTATGGTCTGTTGCCTTGTCCAGGAGGAATGGAAATTACAAAAATTAATTATGATTTGTACAATTAAAAGATCATGTAATTCAAAACCATTGATACAATTTTGATTAGTCACATCTGGTCATAAATCAGAAAACAAAGTAAAACGAAAGCAGAGCACTCGGCCCCTGACATCAGGGTTCATGGGAAGAGTGCTTTTGATAATTTTTTGACGACCCTAAAAATTGCAAATGGCAAAACGTTCTTAACTCATTCTTTCTGTCGAAATAGGATATGAGCAATTAGTCTTTGGTCCTGCATTGGACATTCTGAACCAACCTATAGTCACATTTGGATTATTTTTAGGAATGTATTGGTTTCCTTTCTTCACATTAATACTCTCTTTATTCTTATTATAAATAGTCATTAACAACTTTATACAACTAAAAAATTTGATTAAAAAGTAGTTAATGATCTTTAGATTCAAAACCACACCTAATGATATTTGTTTACTAGAACAGTTTCTTTTTTTTTTTCCGTCATGATAACAGTTTATTTAACCAATTAGATGCTGATCAAAAAATAATTTAAGAAAACAGGCATTGAAAAAAAATTAACATTTTTTATTGCTAAAGCATAGGCATCTTTTTATTAGAGGCAATCTTTTTCAAGACAGTATCAAGGTATAAAATGTGGGCACCTATTCTATCAGGATAAAATTAATGCTTCTGAAAAAATAAATTATGAAGATGTTTGGGTGAAAATCAAAATATTATTTTAAAAATAATTTTACAATATATGCAGTACATATGTGAAAATTTTTTATCTTGACTCGTGTAAAAATACTTTTTAGAAGTGATGTTTTTGACCTAACCAAACACCTTCTAAAATTTGGGCCATATTTTAGTACACAGGGAAAAAAAAAAATCTCCTTGTGGTTTCGTCGCGTCGATGGAACAACCCACCCGGCCTTATTTTATTTTTATTTTTCCATCTCCATCCTTCATCACGCTTGGGTCCGCCACCATCCTTCGTGTGTTCGCGACTGCTCGTTTCCGAGTCGTGACGCCGGAGCAGAAGCAGAATGGATCGAGAATGGGGTTCAAAGCCTGGGAGTGGAGGAGCCGCCTCCGCCCAGAATGAAGCCATCGACCGTCGAGAGCGGCTTCGCCGACTTGCGCTCGAGACTATTGATCTTGCTAAAGACCCCTATTTCATGCGCAATCATCTGGGGAGGTCTCCTCTTTACTCCTTTTCTGTTTATATTTTCGCTTTCTAGACTTCATTGCCTCTGGGTTCCTGGGTGTTCACTGGGTTTGCTCAATTCTGTGGCTGCAGCTATGAGTGCAAGCTTTGTCTCACATTACACAATAACGAGGGCAATTACTTGGCCCACACACAGGGTAAGCGGCATCAGACTAATCTGGCAAAGAGAGCAGCTCGTGAGGCCAAAGAGGCACCTGCTCAGCCTCAGCCCCACAAGCGTAAAGTCTCGGTTCGCAAGACAGGTAATTCTTTCTTTGAAATGTATCAAGAAGTGCACTTAGTTCTGTGTGCAAGTTTTCGTAATGCTCTTGGTTTAAGTTTAACCGGGATTTCCGTCTTTGTGGTGTGGCAGCATTTCCCGAGATCGGAATCTTTCTGTAGTTTGCGGAATTTTTGAGTAGAACTTCATTTGACATCGATAAATTCTATATCAATAATGACGTAATTTTATGTACTTCCTCGGTTTTTTTCTTTTTTTTCATAACTAATATAGCCAGCTCTGGTTTCTCCGGCCAAATTTGGAGAAACATTATCCTCACGGGGCGACAGCTCAAAATAGTACTAACTCTGGTCTTAATATAAGAACTATATAGTTGACTAAACTAGTTAAGATAGTTATTTGTAATAAATAGGAGTTGTCTTTCATGAAATATTCTTGCTAATCAAGTGTATTGGTTAAAATTATCATTTTACAAGGACTATCTTGAAAAAAATAGATAAATATGAAAGATAAAGTGAATTGAGGTCTTATATTTAGAACCAAAATAAAAATCAAACAAGCTCTTATATTAAAAACCGGGGGTCATAAAAAGATGTCACGTGGATTCAGTTTTGATTCGTTAACTTCCGTGTAGTTTCTGAATAGTGCAACCATAATCCCATGTGGTTAGAGGTTATCTATGTAAATAACTGCTTCATAAGAAATGCAAAAAGACATGAAACGGATTAGTACTAGCTTTAGAGCTCTCTATAAACTAGTTAGAAGTATCGCATTTGACGTAGTGCATTCTTAAGGTAGTTGGGAATTTTGTAGGGTGTCGATCTCATTTCTAATTCTGTCTCCTCTCGTATGAAGTTTTTAGAAGCTTTCATAATGCTGTTAGGACCATCTAGAATCTAGATTTGTAAAAGCTACTTGTATGCTTGTGAGAGAGGCAGGGAGGCAGCTCAAAAATGATCTCTTTGGAATTCCAACCATGTCATTTTTCCAAACTCCAAATTGATTTAATATTTTAATTAACCTGAAGGTGCTCATAGAAAAGGCAGACAATTATGACACAGTGCAGGCTGTTAATTTCCAAAGCATCCCTATCATTCATTTTTCCATCTTTGCATTTCAGTGTGGTTATCTCTCATGATGTATTGCCTTTCTTTTTTCCCAATTACTAGTAGCTAAACCTAAGAACGTGAAAGGTGAGTAGTTTGGCTTAGAGTCCCTGCATTGCTAGCTTGTTAGTCAGTCCGGAATCAGATTGAAGTACGCTTGAGTGCCTGTAAGAATCTGAAACTTATTTGAGCTAAGAAAGTTTCAATTTTTCAAATCATCTCTATAAAAAATTTGGATGAATCTGTAAGTACACATAAAATGATTCCATGATGATCTGCTTTGGTGAGCATAAATGGCTGAATCTGTTGAAAATTTGCCATTGCCATCAATTACTGGGATTATTTTGTGCTTATAATCTGTTGATTTTGTAGATACTCAAAGGATTTAAGAAAGCTCTTATTTTTGTTGATTTAAGAAATTTGACTTCTTTACCGTTTCAATCAACAAAATAAGTAATGGATATTCAATGTGTTTGCACTTTGCAGTCAAGATTGGTCGGCCTGGGTACCGGGTGACTAAGCAATTTGATCCAGAGACAAAGCAAAGATCTCTTCTTTTCCAGGTCTTCTTTTGTATTATTTTCTTCTCTTATTTCCCTTTTTCTTCACTGAAACTTTCTAATAGATAACCCCTTTGTTCATTTGGAACTCAACGTAGATTGAATATCCTGAGATTGAAGAACTCACAAAGCCAAGGCATAGATTTATGTCTTCTTATGAGCAGGTGGACTTTGATTTCATTGACTTGAATGCTTTCAAAAGCTTATCCATCCTTGTCTTTTTTTCTTTCTCGGAACTCATGATGATTGACCTCAAAATTGCACATTTGTCCTCCGGGAATAGGGAAAATGATATAAAAAAAAGTTGGAAATTGCAATATTTCGGTTCAAGCACCTAAGACTTCAACATTTGACTACATTTGCAAAATACCAAATTAGGCACCACTTCTTCCTTTGGGATTTTGAACTCTTAGGTGTCTGAATTGAAATATTGCAATTTCTAATTTCTTTTTATGTCATTTTTCCCAGGAATATATGTACATATAGGTTACAGTTTCCTTTTCTGCTGATAAAACCGCGGACTAATCTTTCTCTCTTCTCACATGTTCATTCATAGAGGGTTCAACCCTTTGACAAAAGATTTCAGTATCTTTTGTTTGCAGCTGAACCGTATGAGATAATTGCTTTTAAGGTAAATCAATCCTGCCATTCTGTATTCGTAGAATTTTGGCATTTTCAAGGATTTGAGACTGATCAATCTTCATTTTTAGGTGCCCAGCACAGAGATTGACAAGTCCACACCAAAGTTTTTCTCGCATTGGGACTCGGACTCAAAAATGTTCACGGTCAGTGCCATCACTGTATTGGTTTTTACCTAATAAGTTGATGACATATCTGCTTCATTCAATAAGGACGGCTTAAACTGCACCCTTATCCCATATCTCCCCCTTTTTTCTCGAAGGAAAAAGAGAACAAAATGACAAGAAAACAATAGCTGATGATTTATGAAATCCAGACGTAGCAATTAGCTGTAGACTTCAAGCCAATGATGCATCAGAACTAACTGAAAACTGATGATTCAAAAGGGCGAAAACAAAAAGTTATTCAAGCAATTTAGTACCCAAAAAAAGGTGGGGTGAGGTTAATCTAGGGTCTTGAGCAGTTGATTTTTGGTTTTCATCATCTGACTTGGAAAAGTTTATGGTACTGGCTGCAGTTGCAGTTATATTTCAAACCCAAGCCACCAGAGGCAAACAAACCACAGCCTCCATCTACAGCTAATGGCACAGCGGCACCTGGTGTCCCACCAAGGCCTGTGCCGCCGCCTCCTCAAGCTCCGCCACCACCTCCTCCTCCACCACAAGGACTACCTCCTGGTGCAGCTGTTGGAAATCCTCCTAGAGCCCCTCCACCTCCTATGCCTGGATCATTGCCGCCGCCTCCTCCTCCCATGTCAAATGGCCCTACACCTGCACCTCCTGGTGGAATGCCACCTCAACCCCCTGTTGCGAGCGGCTCAGCAGCTAGTTTCAACATGGGTTCTAGGCCCCCATCAATGCCACCGCCCCAAAACTATTTAGCCCAACAAATGCAGGGCCAGGGTATTCGTCCACCTCCACCACCTCCTAGCATGGGATAGAAGATCTCATGTCATGTTAAGCGGGATGTCTTTATCCACTTTAGCGGCTAACGTAAAAGTTGGTTTCCAAGAGGCTTGTTAGCTTAGAGGCTAGGCTTTATAAGCGATGTAATTTATTTTCTTTGCCTTTTATTGACTTTGTTTTCAAATCAAGATATTGTGGCATCTAGTTTTTATATATTATGCGTTTGGAGTGTGCCCCAAATTGATGCGAGCACATGTACGTGGCTTTTCGAAATTAATAGGAAATCAACAAAAGGAACGTCTTTCTTTTCTTTTTCCTTTTCCTTTGTTCTTTTTCAGATGCGGGGCTATGGTTTAATGGCATTTGATAGGGGGAAATTAAATTTACGGAGCATGGCACTCGTGCAAATCCACTGCCAGGAAATTTCTTCAATCCTGAGGCATGTTTCTGCATCGAAAACTCATTTTTCGAGGCCTTTTCATTTGGGGGGAAAAATCCTTTTTCGTGTCATGCTTCTAATGGGCTGATCGGTTAGTATAGTTGTTAAATTTTCCAAAAACATGCTTGCATCAAGCTACCTGTCACCGTTAGCTTTGTTCTTTTTTTTTTTTTGGGGGGGGGGGAGATTAAATATATTCTTCTTCTTCTTCAACGGTAAACACGGATGAAAATATCAGACAAATGTGTAGGACACGAACAGCTACGTGGCAAATACGCCATTATGCCACGGGCCCAATAAATATATTGAAAAAAGAACCAGTAAAACAAATACTTCCAACTAACTAGATTGGATCTAGCGGAAGGAGAAAGATAGTGCCTCAAATAATATTGTCTATAAACAAAGAAGATATATGTATAGCCAAAAAAATACAAACACTTCAAACTGAAATCATAATAGAAGGTTGAGTCCTTCTCCGCATAGGTCCGGTGCTGAAGACTACACAGCATGGCACAATATGCAGTAGCCTTCAGCCCCAAGTGGACAAGCGTGCCGCTACACCATCAGCTTCGTTCTTACGCTCGCGTGCTTCTACATATTGTAGTTATGGATTAGTCTGTCTTTTTCATTTTCTTTTTCATTTTTTTTTGAGGGGTGGGGGGTTGGTTTGTTAAAACGGGCATGTCAATCTAAAATGGCGTGAGGGTTTTAGAAGTAAATGATTAGAAATATGAAAATACTAGTTGTTCCCAAAAAGAGAAGCTTTCGCACATGCTGCCCGGATGGCAAGGGACTCTTGTAATAATTTATGGTCCAAACACTACATAATATCTCACTCAGTATACCTGATTCGCTTGTTTTGAATGATTTTAACGTTTGTATTTTAAAACAGTATGATGCCTGTTTGATCGTCTTTAGAATTCCGAATGATGAGTTTTTTGTTGATTAGCTTAAGCTTTTGAGAGAAGGCGCCTGGTCCTTATTATCTGTTATTTCCAATAAAAAGCATTAAATACATAAAATCTTTTATTTTTATCCTTATTAAAGATAGTATTAAAAAGTAGTATATTTTCTCCTACCTATTGTTCTTTTCAACCTTACTATAATTAACGGGGACAGAATTGAAAATATATTAACAAGGATACAAATAACAAATAAAAAGGATTAAAACTCCTCCCTACAAATGACAAATAATAAATATCAGAGTGGCGATCCCTTGACTTTCCTTTTTTCGAAAGTTTTAAGAACTTTTCAAGGTTAATGCTGCATCTCTATTTTGTCTGCAAATATATTTATTCTTTTGACTAGAAAGAGAATAGTAATGAGAAGAGAAGCCGGGGAGTGAATCAGTCGTTCATATCATTATTTTCTAAATCGAAATTTAAAATTTTTTTATAATCTAAATTTAAATTCTAAAGTTTTGGGTATTTAAATGTAATTTTTGAAACATCTTTCCCATAACCCAACTTATTGGGCTGACGTGAGGCCCAGAGTGCTGTTTTGGGCTCATGCAGGATAGATTATAAAGGGTAGGCAAGGAAAAGACAAAACAAAAAAAGGGTAAAGGCCTAAGCCCTTCGCTTCCCTCCGCAGAGGCATAAACCTCGCAGCGCAAGGGAGAACCCGGACAACGCAGCCATGGTGAAAGCCTACCTGCGGTATGAGCCGGCGGCATCCTTTGGGGTCGTTGTGTCTGTTGAATCTAATATTACTTATGACAGTTCCGGCAAGCACCTCCTGGCTCCGGCCCTTGAAAAAGTCGGCGTTTGGCATGTGCGCCAGGGCATCTGCACCAAAGAGCTTACTCCTCCTGCTTCCCGTGGTCCTTCTCTCGCTGTCACCTCAATTGCTTCTTCCACCTCTTCTCTGGTAACAGTAACTGTTTGCCGCTTTCTGTCTTTTCACCATGTTTGCTTACTGTGCGGCATCGAAGCAAATTAGTCGTTTGTTCTAGATAGTGTTTGAGCTGTCTTGGCCCATGGTAAATCATTTATTTTTCAAGTTGAACCTGCATTTCGTTAAATAATGGATTCTCGTGAAAGTGGGCAACTATGGCTAGCTAAAGCTGTCAGTTGGGAAGTATTTGGCTTTTTTTTAGTTAATTAAAAGACATGGATTTTTTTGCTGACTGTCATTTCTCAGTTTGTTTAATTGAAGTAAAACACATTTTGCTCTAGAAACCCCCTATAAAGGCTAATTTGTACTGTTGAATTCCAAAATATTCTTGAATTCGAGTACCTGAAAACGGCGTGATTTTTTGTTTGCAGATAGCTAGCGGTTATGCAAATGGGAGCGTAAGAGTTTGGAATCCTGAGGTGGGAACATGTGAGACAACCTTAAACGGACATAAGGGAGCTGTGACTGCTCTTCGCTACAATAAGGCTGGATCCATGCTCGCGTCTGGCAGCAAAGATAATGATGTTATTTTATGGGACGTGATTGGTGAGACAGGGCTCTTTCGCCTACGCGGTCATCGGGATCAGGTTTGCTGCAACTTCAACTTAAACCCGTAAATGTGGACATTCTGCCTTCTATTATCGGTTAGCTGCTTACCTGTTTTATGCTTTCTCCTTCTCTAATATATGTCCCCGTTCTTCTGAGGACGCGAACCAAGAAAACACTAAAACTAAATTGATGTGTAAAAATAATTTTTTTTCTTTCCAAATATGCCCTCAATTAAATGTATCATCGGAATGTGAATCCTGTTGTAATTTTGATTCTCTATAAGGGTGTCTTGGGAAAAACCTGTTAACTGCATCCAAAATTCTGAACTGGGACTTTTGTTTAGGACAACAAATCTGACATACGAGACTTATTATTATTTAGTAGAGTGGGCGGGAGTAATTTGTACCACCTGAATTCATGATGAGTTTTCTTATTCTGACTTACGTTTATTTTCTTCATTTTAGGTTACTGATGTTGTTTTTGTGAGTTCTGGAAAAAAACTTGTTAGTTCCTCCAAAGACAAGTTTTTGAGAGTTTGGGATCTTGATACCCAGCACTGTATGCAAATTGTTAGTGGTCATCATAGTGAAATATGGTCCATAGACATTGATCCAGATGAAAGGTACTTGGTCACTGGTTCTGCAGATAAGGAACTTCGATTTTACACACTCAGGCATGACTCAGTGATTGATCAGTCTATAAATGGATACAATACTGTTGGCAATGGAGATTCTTCAATCCAGAACAAATGGGAAGTTTTAAGATATTTTGGTGAAATTCAGCGGCAAAACAAGGATAGAGTTGCAACTGTGCAATTCAACAAGTCAGGGAATTTGCTAGCTTGTCAGGTTGCTGGAAAGACAGTAGAAATATACCGTGTATTAGATGATTCTGAAGCAAATCGGAAGGCAAAACGTAGGCTTCACCGAAAAAAGGAGAAGAAACATGGCAAGAAGTCACTGCAGGTTACAGAAATTGAGGATAGGCAAAATGAGAATGCAGCAGGAGATAATCCTGTTACAACTGAACAACCTAATGAAACAATTAACCCTACTGTTACCGTACCAGATGTTTTTAAGCTGCTACATACCATAAGAGCTGGCAAAAAGATATGCTCGATTTCTTTCTGTCCAATTACTCCTAAGAATTCTCTGGCAACTTTGGCTCTGTCTTTGAATAATAATTTACTGGAGTTCTATTCCATTGATAATGGTGCAGCCACAAAATCACTAGCTATTGAGCTTCAAGGGCACCGCTCAGACATTAGAAGTTTGGCACTCAGCTCAGACAACACTCTTTTGATGTCAACCAGTCATAATGCGGTAAAAATTTGGAACCCAAGTACTGGTTCTTGCTTACGAACCGTTGATTCTGGGTATGGACTATGCGGTATAATTCTTCCCCATACCAACTATGGACTTGTAGGGACTAAAAGCGGAAGCCTAGAAATTATTGACATAGGAAGTGGCACTTGTCTTGAAGTAGTGGAAGCTCATGGTGGTGCAGTGCGCTCAATTGCTGTCTTACCGGATGAGAATGGTTTTGTCACAGGAAGTGCAGACCATGATGTGAAGTTCTGGGAGTATCAGTTAAAGCAAAAACCTGGCCAAGTGCGTTCCTCATATCATTCATTTGTTTTCTTTTATTTAATTTTTTTTAATGGCATCTTAATACAAAATTTAAACGTCTTTTGTAGAAGTGGTTTAATATGTTATCAAGCATAAACAAAAGCCCTTGCTATTCTTACAGCATATGTTTAGCCTGTTATTAAGCACAGCGCCCCCCGGGTGGGTGTGTTTCAAGTGTTTTTGCTTCTCTTGCTAGGTGTCATATATCTCTAAATTGTTCAAACTTTAGACATTTCATATAATCTCAGGTATATCAATCGCCATGCTTGTTTTATCAGTGACACTTATTTTTTTCCCCTTTACTTTCAGGCTAGAAAGCAACTTAGTGTGTCAAACGTGAGGACTTTGAAAATGAATGATGACGTTCTTGGGGTTGCAATAAGCCCTGATGCTAAATATATTGCTGTTGCCTTGATAAATGATACCATAAAGGTCAGATGGCTCAACCTTATCTCAATTTGCTTACATATATCTTTTGATTGTGCTATGATTTTCACTTTCTCTATGGTCATTCTCATATCTGTTGGTACCTCAATTATGCAACATCTTACATCTTCCCACACCTCCCTCAGGGACAATGATAGTGTGCGTATGTCATAGAACTTCATATCAAGTCCGAGAATTGGTAAAGATGAAGATAAGCAAATTTAATGGATTAGAGATCTAGGGATGTGTCTGTGAACCATATGAAGATGTCACTCTCGTTGTCTATCTATGGATACTTTCATACTTTCACACTAGTAATGAGTATTCAGTACTGCACGGGCTATGAAGTATGAACATCTGGTGTATCTCACAATTCTTGCATTGGCACTATTGCATTGTCAAGCATTTCTTAGTCGTCCTGATGAGTTTATTAATTTGTTTTTTCAGATTCACTTTGTTGACTCATTCAAACTCTTTCTTCCCTTATACGGCCACAAGCTGTCTGTTCTATGTATGGATATCTCATCAGATGGAGAACTGATTGTGACAGGCTCTGCTGATAAAAACATAAAGATTTGGGGCTTAGCTTTTGGTGACTGTCATAAATCCATTTTTGCACATGCTGACAGGTGTAACACTATCTTTCATGTCATTTTATATGTTTTTTGTGGTTGAGACTTCACTTGAAAGTTTCTGATGCAATTTATATGGTGTTACAGCAGTGAAATTTGTTCCCAAGACACACTATGTGTTTAGTGCTGGGAAAGACCGCTTGGTAAAGTATTGGGATGCTGACAAGTTTGAGCTACTTTTAACTCTTGAAGGACATCATGCAGATATTTGGTGTCTTGCTGTCAGTAGTCGTGGCGATTTTGTTGTCACTGGATCTCATGATCGTTCTATCCGCCGCTGGGATCGCACAGAAGAGCAGTTTTTTATTGAGGTATACTAGATTTGTTTGGGCTTGGGCTACACTTTTTAATGCAGGACAAAGGGTCTGGCTTATAATTGGAAGATAGATGCAATACAATGTTGCTTGTCTAGTGCAGCAAAACGGCCTTGAGTGTGATTTGAAGATAGATTCAATGTTGATCTTTTCAGTATAATTTGTTTCACCTCAATAAGATAAATCATTTTAATGCAGGAAGAAAAAGAAAAAAGGTTGGAAGAGATGTTTGAGGCTGACATAGACAATGCATTTGAAAACAAGCATGTGCCCAAGGAGGAAATTCCAGAGGAGGGAGCTGTGGCTGTAGCTGGGAAGAAAACCCAGGAAACCCTTACTGCAACTGACTTAATTATTGAGAAATTAGACATAGCTGATGCTGAACAAAAGCGTATTGCCGAACATCAGGTATGGTGCATACTTACCTTGTGATGAGCGTCCCTCTTGGAGAACCCTTCTGGTCGAAACTGATGCTTGCTGATAGACTCTGGCTCAAAGCATGCATAATTAAAGATAAAAAATGGATTGTACATTTGAACAGACATAGACATGAACCAGTGCTATGATATTTTATCCAATAGGGTATGAATATGGTGATACACACTAAAGAAATAAAGACTATCTTGTACGGTAATTCTCATAGTTCCAAAAGTAATTGAAATATTTTGTGCAGCTTAGCTCTAATTTTTATTCATCAGAGTCGATTACTTAAATAGGAGGAGGAGAGAATAACTCTGATCAAATCACCTGCATCTCCTGAAATCATGAATATTATAAGTTAATATCATAACAAATCTGAATAACAACAGAGCAGATAAGGAAAAATAGGTAAATCATTGAGTTGGGCCTATTAGTGATGACAGGCTCACTCCCAAAGCAGTAATACATGTGCTGGTGTTTGTGTGTATGCATTCCATGATATTTAATAAACTAAAGCAGTAATCGATATCTCCTGATTTGGTCTAAACTTAAATTTAGTAATATATGAGATGAAACTTCATAGTAACAGATTTTATGATCATTTGGTTAATAATGAATAATATCTAGTTAATAGAGTTCATCTGACTTTTCTGATGCACTGTCTGTTGTTTCTACTGTGTTTGACATAGTTGTGAGTCATTACTAAGTTCAGTTGATCATTAGGAAGTTCCTCTCAATTACAGTTTGACATCTTTCTGCTTTTCAGGGGGAGAAAACTAGCGGCGAAGTTGCTTCATTTCAAGCAAATCCTGTTATGAATGGGCTTTCGCCTTCTGATTATGTTCTAAGTGCATTTTCAGATGTTCACTCCAGTGATCTAGAGCAAACGTTGATGGTATGCATGGGACATACACATTCATCCATTGTTGTACTCAAGTGGATTGGGCTATGGGTTTTGGTTCCTTCTCTCATCTGATTTACGAATCATGTTGGGCATTGGACTTGGTTGGAGCAAAGCTGCTTTGATTTAAAAAGATGATTATATTGTTTTGAAGCACCGACAGAAAAATCTTAAATAGTTTTGATGTTTGACTAATCAATCTGTATTTTTTTTTAAAAAAAATTTTGGGGAGTGGAATCTGTATGTTTTGTTAATTGCATATATTTATTGGTTTTGCCGAAGTACTGTACTGATTATTCTAGGTCGTTATCAGCAGTTATGCAAAATTAAAGGAGTTTGAAACAAATATGCATGACTTCTGCAATACCCAAAAAAAAAAAAAAAGAAAGAAAAGGTTTAAACATTTAGGCGCTGCACATTTTTTATTTCTCTTTAAAAATTGATTTGACTAGCTTCTGTCATTCTCACAGTTCCTTTTAGTTTGGGGAGTCATGTCTTCATCTATGAATAATTAACAGCTAATAATTATCAACTTTGATAAGAGATATAAATCATCAGTTAGCCTGGTGTTAGTGAAGGGTCTCAGATTTAAGGAGTTTGACCTTTCTTCTTTATGGGTTACCTGAGAGATATGAAATATAAGGAGATTGGCCAGCTTTTTGGGTGATTGGTACACTCTCCCCAGAATGTTTGTCATGCATGGCATTTTGTTTCATCTTTTATTTTATTGTAGATTGCGAACAACTGGTATTGTCTAACTTAGTTCAATTTTCTTGTGCAGGCTTTACCATTTTCAGATGCTTTGAACCTCCTATCATACTTGAAGGACTGGATATCATACCCTGATAAGGTATTTCCGCATGCATTGTTGCACTAAAACTCCGTGTCCTAGCCGATGCATCAATTCCTTTTAACATTTTTAAAATTGGAGTATTTTATTATGGCTTTATCATTGCAGGTTGAGCTTGTTTGCAGGATTAGCACTCTCTTGTTGCAGATACATTATAATCAGCTGGTTACTACTCCAGCCGCTAGACATGTGTTGACAGTTCTTGGTGACATTCTTTATAAAAAAGTCAAGGTATGTAACAACCCCCCCCCCCCAAAAAAAAACTGTTACGAAAAAAATATTTACAGTTTTTGGAGTGTTGGACAAGATAGACTGGAAGCTGTCATTTTTGGTACTTTGAAAGTTTTTGCTATCTGAACTCTTAATCTTGAGGAGTTATTTGATATGCTATGTTGAATGACGGACAAAAGATCTACTCCATCATGGTACTGTCTTGTGATCATCAGTCTCTGTTTAAGTTATCCATCTTTTCAAGTTTTTCTATTGCACTAGAGTAGTTTTTTAACACCTGCTCCAAGCTTTCTTAGTAAAATATTTGTTTACTGTTGACTTTTCTTGGTGAATAGTACGGGGAAAATGCCCATTTATTTTTGTTTGCTATTACCTTATTTCCAGTGGAAATAACTGAATAATTTAGGCGTTCTTCGTTGATTGACAACTTACATTGATTGCGTATCAGGGATGTAAAGATACCTTTGGTTTTAACCTTGCGGCCATGGATCATCTCCAGGTTTGTCTCATAATCTGCGAATCTTCTGCACACCAGACTTGAAAAAAAGCTAATTTAGTTTAAAATGATCTTTCAGCAAATGATGGCTTCAAGATCAGATGCCATCTTTCGTGATGCAAAATCAAAACTACTTGAAATACGTGCTCAACAATCAAAACGTGAGCAGAGGTATGATACTGGAGAAGTGAGGGGGAAGAAAAAGAAGACGACATCGAAGTGATTCGATCGTTCGGACTTGTTGATGATGACAATCATTGGAATACTATAATCGCGCTAAGGAGAAGTGACCTCTAAGATAAAACCTACACGTCTGACTGATGAGGCATTACTGACGATGCAAAGCCACATTGTCTCAGAGTACCCTGGACGAGAAGAGAAGGGGGTGAAGAGGGATGGCTTGCCTTGTGTGGCTCGTGAATTTCTTGGTTGTTTGCGAAAGGGGTTCGGTCATTTTGTTCCATCTCCAGATGATGGATTTTTGTAATCTTGGTCCATCATGTTGAGAAGCTGACATAGAAGTACGAAGAGGAGGTACCGGTTAGGGTGGCCCACATATAAAGATGTGTTATGGTAAAATTTTATTGCCTCTGCAAACGATAAATTATCAGGAATTTTAATTTCTTTTGGGCATTGCAGGAGTTTTAATTTTAATTTCATTGTATACCGAACATAATTATCCCAATGTTGGTGTGTAAAAATTAGCAAGGGTTTCATAGGAAAATTTCAAAGATTGTGGAACATTCGTAAGCTAATTGAACTATGGAAGGGCCGAGTTCACTCATAGGCGTGGTGTCTCCGCACATGTAGTTAACCTGACGTATTGACTACGGTTCTTATTCCTCGAAATTTCCTTCCAGATGTGTAAACAAATTGATTAAATTCTGTCATTGAGCATTAAGTATAGATGGTAACAAATTGAAAATTCTGGGAAAGGGCAACAAACTGGTTGCTTTTGACATTGATCTAATCGGTACAACTAACAAGGTCTTGCCCTCCCTGGCGAGGGAATCTCATCAGAGTAGCATCGGACTAATTCCGATGATCTCAGCAAGTGCTCTAATTTGATGCGCAGCCTTAAAGTAGCTACCTACATACTTGAAAATATAACAATTATGTACAAACAAAGGCCCGTGGTTGAGAAAGGTGGGATATTGGAGTGAATTCACTTGAAGTTTTTTCCTTGGTAGGTCATCCCAAACTGCCAATTCTCAGGAGTGACGTGCCACGAAGTGGAACACCTTCCATCACTTGTTCTAACTCGGAAGCTCAAAGACTCTCCCAGTAACATGGCATTTGTCTGCCACTTCTGACCCCAATTCCTGCTCATAACTGTCCATTTCACCTTCTTACTTCCCTTCACCTTCACGCCCACCACATCCCCTGCTCCTCCAACATTCGACAATGACACCAAATAAAAATAAGGATTCCCAGTTATGCTGAACCGAATGCCTCCTTGCCTCTTGCATGCTACCCTGCATTTCCAATTCATTTTCAATCACAATCTTGCCTAATTATCTAAAGCAACGACAAGGAATATCCACATGTTAATGTAATCACCTGCGGTAGTTGATGGGGACAATGCCACCTTGGTACTCGGCGATATCGAGATAAGCAGGCTTGGCCAAGTCGAAGTGCTCGCCGGGCGGGTTGCACCATCCTCCATTGTCACTTGCGAGGTTGAAATTGGGAGGGCAATAATCGGTGGCCGTCACGAAAATGGAAGGTTTTATGTGCTTACACCATGGTGAATTCACGCATCGGATTTCGTAGCATGCACCACATGTGAGTCCATCCTTGTACAGAACTTGGCTTAATGCTGCTGTCTGAAGTCCATATCCTTCTTTCTCTACATCCTCGTACCCACATGCTCCTCCTGCCATGTTGTTCTCAATAATGTCAAAAGCTTGAAGAGGTTAATTATTAAATATAATTTTAACGATCCCATATATACATGATTTAAATGCATAAGCTTGAAGAGGTTAATTATTAAATATAATTTTAAAGATCCCATATGTACATGATTTAAATACTTAATACTTATTAGCGATGTTAAAAAAATATACCATACGTTCCGGAGCCTCCTTCATAGAAAGTGGCATGAGCTTGCCTCCAAGGACTGGGCACAAAACGTGGCTGGGAAAGAGCAATCCTAGTGCCCCCTCCTACGTGTTGAGAGGGATTAGCGTCTGCATGAACGTGAGGAAGCCAGAGAGCAATGATAATGAGAAAGAGCATAAATGAGGCCAAGAGGGTTCGCAAAGGCAATGCCATGTTGTGACCTTATAAATTTAAGAGATATTGGCACGGCCTTTAGGGTGGGGTCTTCGTTTTACTTTGAGGAATCTCTCTCTGGTTCGTGAATTTTGATGCTTCGATACAGATTTTCTGCGTAGAAAATCATGCATGGTGTGAGGAAGAATATATGCGAACGCAGATTTAGGTACGTTGGTTATTTGGGTTGGTGAATTTAGTGTGTCGTTCTGACTGTTCCAGCTTTTTTCTCTCTGCCCCTCCTTGCCAAAATCACAAGAGCCACTCGCTCTCTTCTCTTTTACCAACCTTAGCAATTCATAGAATAGTAGAATACAGGTTGCCATCAACTATGAACAAACCATCAATCGTTTTATTTCCAGGATTGTGCGGAATAACTTTCTTATGCACGACGTCGTTATAACGGTTAAATTTATCGCAAGATGAGAACAATCTTAAGTTTGAATTTAAAATAATCATAATGAATCATTTCTAAAACCATCCCTTAAGAGTTCTCCAGATAAGAGTGTGGATAAAAGCTTATAAATAAGAGTTTGGAACAAAAAATTTCGTCATGAAATTCTAAAATTTCGTGACAAAGTGTTTCAACAATAAAATGTAAACAAGGACGGTTCATCACGAAAATGTAAGCAACGATTTAATCAATAGCAGTTCGAATAGGTCAGATCGAATAGATGAATATAGATATCGATACTTACACTCTCCAATGAGAAATTCTAATAAATAAAAATTAAAAAAAATACTCCTTCGCAATCAAAATTCCATTGAGTGACGTGAGGATAAAGTTGCATGTGAATATATGTTGGAAGTATATAAGGTCAAGTAGCATTTGTTTAACTAAGCACTTTATCCTTTTCAATACAGGAAAAGAATCAATATCAATACCAATATCAATATCATATCAACATAAAAATGTGATTCACAAATCGTGAACAATACACTTCATTGCATAAAAATGTTAAAAACTATTAAGAAAACTAATTCACTAGCTCCTATAGTTCATCTCAATTTTAAATTAGATGGAAAAAAATCTCAAATTTAAATTAGGTTTCCGCAGTTTATTTTATTAAATTTAGTCCTCATATTGTAATTCATTATAGTCATTCATCCTTAAAGTGTAAAATTTAAAAAAAAAATCATTTTAATTTATAAAATTACATGAATTTTATGAAGCCTTGTTCATTTCATTTAAGACTATTTTAATACCCGTTCATTCTTATAAAAGAAATTTCATGAAGTCTACAAATTAAATTTAACCAATGAAACAATAAAGACTTGGTCCAAACAAAATATATATATATTTATATCAAACTTAAAATTGAGGTAGACTAGATTAATTTTCTTGAGCATTAATAATACATTTTATCTTGAGGTAGTAAAAATGATATATTTAAAATTTGAGCACAAATTAACAAATAAATATAGTTCACGGAGCTTTACTAGATAAAAGATAATTTGTTATTATTAACTTACCCATTATTTTTCAATGTATTATGAGAAGTTGGCCGAGTCCACAACACAAAAGGAAAACTATTGATACAAGCCGAAGAACGAAAGCAACGATTTCTCACTTGCCCCTGACAGTATCACTATCTTGGTTTTGGACCACAAAAGTCGGAAGCACTGATACTTTATTCAATGTGATGAAATCACCGAAGTCTAATACTCTACCTTTTTTTTTTGTGGTCAAAATAATACTCCAGCTTGACACCCGCATCAGACTGATTCAATATATGTGTATGAGATTCTTATAAGCGTCCTCGTGCTCTGAGAAATAATTAATTTCAGCCTGCACATGAAAAATCACATCGCCCATTATAACTAGCTACAGTTTAACTACTATAATCTTGAGACTCTTTTTTCCGCTTTATACATATCAAGAGCAACTGAAGTATGATTAAACTCTTTACAGTTATGTAGTACAGAAAATTAAGGACATGGAGACAAATTGATTGCATAATCTGCTGCCCACAGACTTAAACTGCAGGTAATATCCTTTTTTATTTTATCTTATAAAACTTAAATTTAAGACTTATGTGACAAATAGAAAATGCCCCATCAGGAGCAAGAACTTTTAGAACCATAACACATGAAAAGCAGCATATTCGCTTCCAAGACATTGAGGGCAGCAGAGAAGTCTTCTTAAAAGTCAAATAGAGATGCAAAGAAGCAAAGACGCCCACGTTAAAGACCAAAGAATTTAATCAGGAAGGGCAACCGCTTAAAAATTATCCGTCACTATATTCTATATTACTACCTCCGGTTCTTCATAAGAGTTGGTTTGACTTTTATCTTGGTCTTAAATATAAGACCAATCTATTTTGTCTATTATATTTATCTATTTTTTTCTAAGGTAGTCCTTGTAATAGTAGTTCTAACCAATACACTTGATTGGCAAGGATATTTTAAGAAAGACAACACCTATTTATTACAAATAACTAACTTAACTAATTTCATTAATATACTCAAATTAGTCAACTAGCTCTTATATTAAGGATAGGAAGTAGCATATGGATTTACTAGCTATTAATTAAGAAGCAAGTAAACCCCTTGTACGTACCCTTCGAACTGCTTTTATTGCAGTCAGCAGCTTTTCACCAATGAATTCCTTAAAGATGTCATCATCTTTATCAAGAGCCTCCAGAGATTCAGAAAGTGTAATCGGCAGCCTCTGAAGTTTTTCTGCATAGCCCTCTGGATCTGTATCTGGTACACGCAAAGTATTGGGGTAGGTAATTCAGCAAATTAACGAGAAACAGAATAATGACAAATTGATCCAGAATCTTTTTTTTTTTTTTTTTGGGGGGCGGGGTGTGGGGGAGAATGACATTCGGTAGATTTAAATAACATTCAGTTTATTGTGCACATCACTTGTGCCCTAGTGGTACCCGTTACTGTAAATATCTATGACACTCAGAAAACAAGGATACAACACTTGATACAGTTGTAGAGCAGATAGCACAAACAAATGTACAGTAGGTCTAGACGCAGTTGTCCTGTCTACTCTCCCTCTTTTTGTCGGTTTAAATTCTTTTTACAAAAACAAGAATAATTGATTCAAAAGGATGCAAATGTAATTGACCCAAACGATAAAACAAATGAAAATAGAAAGAAAAATCATTGGACGAGAGAAAGATGCAAAAATGATGATGGCAAAATCATTGCTCTACTGGTAGGATTGTAAAGGCTATCAGTGCACTGCAATAATTAAGTTGTAGAAAGAAAATTGAATAGTTTTCACCTTTCTTTAACTACATTTATTGACTTCGGGAAGCTAGAGAAAATAACATTATGTAACTTGGGTACCCTAGAAATCCAACCTTCCTACCAGAGTCAAACAACAATCTATAAGCAAAAGATATGAGATATGCCCGCCTTCTATTAGATACTAGTCACAAGACAATTACATGCACACTGAAAAAACCCCATCTCAAAGATGCTTCTTTGATTACCCAAAATATTTCAGTGTCAGTCAGTCAACAACTTTTTTTGATGATAATTAAAACTTGCGAAAAATATTCTAGTCACACCATGCATGATTAAAGACCAAATGATCTTACCAACAGGTTCAGGAAGAGAAAGATGCCTACGAAGCCCATCAATTCCAGCAGCAACTATGGCGGCCAAGCCTAGATGTGGGTTCGCAGTAGCATCGAATGATTTAATCTCAAAGTTACTCACTTGACCACCAGGAATTCCAGGCGGAGATGCGGCTCGCAGTGGGGCTTCTTTATTTTCATTTCCCCAGCATTTGAATGCACCGCTCCATGTATTGGGTTGTAGACGTTGGTAACTACAAGGAACAACGATTGATTGAGCAATGATGCAGGATGAGACAGTCCATGCAACACGATTTTAAATACACAGGGATAAAGAGTAGACATTGCAACCAACAGAGATTGACATTTCCCCCCTTGGTTGGTTCCCTTTTTGCTGGTTTATTTTTGAGAAAAATGTGGTCAATAAAAATTCCTACATACACATCATACAAATAAACTGCGACGACTATTCGAAAGCATGTAACTTAAGATAACTTCCACATTCCTGAAGGATAATTCATATTTTGAATTTCCGAACAGATTTCCAAGTAATTACTCATCATAAATCAAACTAACCTTTACAAATAAAGACCAATGGAGTCCTAAAGAAGGATAGAGAAGGCGCCAATTTTCTATGATTAGTACACATGATCAAATAAATCATTATAAGCTTCATCTCTGTAACAAGTGGCATGGAATCTGAAAGTTCACAGGCTCAAGTCCCCACTTCAGCAGTATCACGTTTTAGTCATATTCTGTTTTTCCACTTTCATGGTCCACATGCAAGTTACAGAGGATTAGACTGTCTACAATTGGGCCCACTTCCAACAATCTGATCATCTTTTCTAGTTCTTAATCAACCATGTAATAAGAGATAGCAAAATTATGACCGTACTGAAATTTCAAAAATAATCATGATAAGATAATGATGGACTGCTATTAGGAAGAGCAACCTGTTAGGATGAGGTGCTATAAATGCACAAATTGAAGAAATGTGATGTAGAACTCCTGCCATGAATTTCTTTCCTATAGCCGATATTCCATATTTAGACGATGTATCCGATGCCATAAATGCATTTTGACCATTCTGTGACAGGCTAAGATGCACGTGAGCTCCAGAGCCAATGTCATCCAAAAAGAACCTTCAATATCACAAAAGAACAATGTCATGCGCACGCAAAATATATATTACTCATTATTCACTTGAAGCAACCAAAGACAGTTCAATGGCTGTAGGTATTTATTACATAAATAAAAAGGCTGAAGTAGAGGGCCTGTCTCTAGCCCCTTTGCTTTAACATTAAAATTCAACGCCCTCCAAAATAGAGCGGCAAGATGATTATAGTTTCTCATATAGAATTTCCACTCTTACTTTGGCATAAAAGTTGCCAACAGCCCATGCTTTCTTGCAATTGACTTGATAACCTCACGAGTGTAGATTAACTGATCCGCAGCTTCAGTACAGGTCGAATAGCTCAGAATCACTTCAAACTGACCTTTTCCAGCTTCTGCATGTACCTTCAATACATAGAAAGAAAGAAAATAATTAGAAGATCAAGGGCCATTGATTACAACCTCAGGAGAGGAAATTGCAGGAGACCTACAAGAACCAACCAAAGGACAATTTAAGCATTGATTTGGCACATGCCGTATGATGACAATCCTTCCCAGAAGACCAGAACCTTGGTTAGGCACAGTAATCTAACATGCTCCATGTTTTAGACGGAGTAGGAGGCATTGGTTCAGCAATGTGGATATTTAGTTTGGAGGTATCTTAGGATCTTAACCATTGTACGAAGATATTGTAAGGCCTGCTACAAAAGGCCAAGTGAAGTTGGGGCTTTCGCACAGTCAACTTTTTTATTAGCAAATATATAATAATGTAACTTGGAATAATGCGACATGTGGAGTGAAGCCGATGAAGAAGCTTGACCAACCTAAATGCATGGTAAGAGGAAATTCAATATCTATATCCTCTTTCTGCATATACAACTTACAGTATAGATGCGACATGAAAAGGGCAAGAATAGAAACCAGGACTTGATTCAAGATGCGTGCAAAATGACATGATTACAGTTTAGTCAAAAATGGAAGACAATCAGAGATGTTAATTGAAATGATAGAGTTGTTATTTATTTTATCATTCAATGATATAATATTCAGAAGTTAGGGTCAGTAATTGGATAATTGGGATGTTTAGAATTTAATTCGAAATTTGCATAAAGGCATTTGATGTTAGGGATGTATAACACCATATCAAGATATCCTAGAAGGACTAAGATACCAGGTATCACCAGCATTTCTCCTTTAGGTTCCGTACATAGGCCTCCAGCACATCTTGCCCTCATTTTTATGATAAATTCATTGATATGATGACCTGACTTAAGAGTTTCGCTATCTTATAATCTTTCGGTTCCTGTCCCACATCACTATATTATACTTGACTCAGGATTCAGAGAAAATTCATTTACCTGATGTTTAGAAAGTGGCCAATATAGATCGCAAGGACAAGAAGTGATTTTACATTTAAAACTTATTCGTGCTCCAACAAACAAAAGTTGAATGGAACTGTTCGTTGTAAATGTGAGCAGGTAAACTCAAATTTCCTTCCTCTTCCCTCGATAACTTTTCAATAAATAATGAACTAGATACATACTTCAAATCATAAGCTAGACGCTTTAGATTGAAATGCAACACTCAGACTCATACAACAAAAGGTTTTCATCGTATCTACATATGTAATAGATGATGCTGTAAATTCCTTTTACCTGTTCCACTAAAATACCCAAGGAATGAAGAGCAGCAATGACTTCCTGAAATACGGGGGATGTCGCATCGAATGCTGACGTGGAGGAGTAATGAGTCGAGTCAATCGGCACCCATTCTTCTTTCCCTTCCCTGTAAAGTTTTGTTTGTTTTAATTCACTTATTTAATCAACTGTGATGGTATAATTCAATCATTAATCAGAAAAGAGTATAATTTTAGTACCTAGTTACACTCTTCAAGAGATAAAATTCATTCTCAAACCCCGTATTCACTACCTGGAAACATAGGTTCAAACATTAAACAGCAGTCCGTAAAATGGGCCAAGTGAGTTAAACAAACCAACCTTTCATGGCTTGCAAGTTAAACAGGCTAACTCATTTAACTCACCTTAATTTAGTGGGTTGAAAATCAAACCCGGCTCACACGGGTTAAGTGGACCAACCCTCTTAACTCACCAAAAAACATTAAAAAGTTCAAAAATTAATACGTCTTCCACCGTTTAAGCTTCCAATGTTTATCACCATTTTTTTTTTTAAAAGGGAAAAAATATGTTCAAATATCTTAGGTCATTCTAATGTCTTAAACCTCAACAGTATTTGAATCTCATCTTGTGCATGTAGTGTCGCCATCAACACTAATATCTCCTTCTCTGCCATGCACATCAGTATCTTTTACAATAAAATTTAAACAAAGTATTATTTAATTAGTAATATATAAAATCAAAAGAACAATAAGTAAATAAAGAACGACTACCAAAAACACGTCTTAATAAATTACCAATGTCATTATATTCAAAACCACGTAGATACTTGAACATTGTCTAAAGGAGGGAACTTCTATACTTATTCAAAACTCGAGAGCCAATACTAAGTTTATTCACCTAGCTCCCTTGCTGGCCGTTTAACTTACAGGATAAATGTGTTGGATTCATAAGATCATACTCAAAAATATTTCTAAAGAAGTCTCAACTCGATTCAACAAATTTGCAGGTTAAATAGGCCATCTCATTTTGATGGCTCCACATCACAATTAAGACAAGATTTAAACCATACCAAGTCAAATTCATGTTTCAGAATCTTTAACACTCTTCTTAAGGCCTCCCTTGGGCAATATTCCCATGCTTCACCTCCTTTAGTTTGCAAATTACACAAAACCATTTCCTCTTGCTTGCTCCTGTCACAGAAGAGAGTTGCATCAGTTTAATAATTCAATTGTATATGCTCAACGCAAAATAACTGTGCATATCACGAGTTGCCGGCTCTTTGAATGTTATTCTTCAACTAATGTATCAAAAGTTGGCCAAAGAAACCAATGTATCGATAGAAAAGAATAAAGACCCATGGTTGAACTCAAAATACTTGTCATTATCATATTACTGCCTCTATTTGCAAAAATGTTACTTTTGCATTGCGAATTTCATTATCTTAGACTTTCAAAATAAATATCAGATATAAATATTAAAAAAAAAAGGCACAATTTTGGGTGAAAAATTCGAAACTAAACACAATTTGCAAGTACCAGTTGACTATAAAATATAAAAAAATCCCATCAAGAAAGAAACGGAGTACCAAGGAATTCTGCTTTTTGTAGACAAATCAGGCATTATGGTTACTTCACCGACTGCAGTCAAACCAGACCCTTCTACTGTTGTATCAAGATAAGAAGGTACTGCTACAACGCCGCTTGCCAAACCAACCCCATGCTCCTTAACGACATCATTGAAACGCTTTCCCGGAACAACCTGAAACAAAAATTGGCAGCATCTCATGAATAGCACAAATAATAGAAGTTCCAAGCAAAGTCAAAACTAAACTTCAGCAGATCTTGAAAACAAGTTCCCAAATACTATAACAGATACTATTCATTCTGATGTGAGTGATAAAAAGGGAAAGCATGATGAAACAATGAGAATGTAGCGACTATCATGAACACAAATTCTGCTCGTTGATGATCCTAGCATCGATTGTGCATGTTCACCACTACTATTGCACAGCAATGAGAATTCATCACGTTTCTTAATTTGCTTCTTTAATCATGAATATATTTTGATTTATTTTTTTTGAAGAAAATTTCAAATAATCCCTGATAGTGTGATAGCCATCACAATATTGTGCTAAAAATTATTATGTGCTACTTGTATTTTATTGTTGAGTATATAAGCATAAAAAGAGCTGGACATGAAATTCACTGGAAGCTATTGGAAATCAAAATCCAGAGGAAGGACACTTTATTAGTAGGGCCATGTCTCTAGAAGAATTTCCCTAAGATCATGATAGTATCTAATATTTAAAATTCTTCTTACTCTCACTACTAGCTATGTGGCTGTTACCCACTTTAAGGAACTGCATCAATCTACCCTCAAAGTCACTGATTAGGTGAACACATGATTACTTATTCATGAAGGGAATAAGAAGGAAAAGAAAAATTGCTGCACTTTTCTTAAAAGATTCTCGTTCTACATTAAGGATGTGCTGCAATTTTCTTTTGAGATTCTGGTCCCACATTAATGTGAACATGAACTGTGGTTTCAATTTTATAAGCAATTTACTTTTAAAATGTTTATTCAAATGCCTTATTTCCCTCATCATGCAAAAATTCAAGAATTCTTCCTTTTTCAATGATTACTTGTACAATTTATCACAGATGTAGCTTAAGGAAGAATATTTTAGATACTTACTTGTCCGAGAAGACATCTATTTCAGGAAATGTTAGAATCGCTTAAACAGGCAATAGCAGAGCTGACATGTGACACCATGATGCTAAATTATGGCAAACTTTTTCTTAAGGATAGTTAGATGACTTTACTTTCCTCCCAATTATCGAAAACAGGAATTTTCACTCTTAAACCAGACGGAACAAACAAGTGGTATAAACCTAGTTATGAGGACCTTGAACAGTTGACTTTCCTTATCAATTTTTTCCAATTGCTAATATAATCATGAATTTCTTTCTCATATTACAATATCTACCTTTCTAATTCAACAAGTAAACATATGCAACTTTCTCCTCAAGTTCCCAAATGAAAGGTCCCCATGTAGGACAGGAACAAGAAGAGGATAGAAATAGGCTGACGTAAACTCACACGGCATCTATGCTGTCCAGAAATATCAACCCACATGAGACGAACAAGTGACAATTCAGCCTCTAAGGCAATATTTGACTTTTGGGACAGGATGTTGCGTGAAGTGATAGTACCAGTAGCTGATTTAATCTTGTAAAAGTGGATTGCATTTCGTGCAAAGATGTCGTTAGCGGCTTCCACAGCCTCAGGAATTGAGAGATCACCATCAATGCATGCATCCCGTAAAACAGAGAAAACAACTTCACGAGACTTCTTTGCACCTGTAAAATTAAATTTTAAGTTTATTTCAATCAACTATGCTTTGCAATCAAGTATTGTGGCAGGGCCGAGATTGTTGGTTATATGCATAATATTATTCAGATGAAATATGAAGGAGATCTAATTTGCTTTTGCATGTATAAATAGGCAGCATATTACATGTAAGTTAGCAATGTTCCTAGCTTGTGAATGGGCCATATTTTTTTGGACAGCACCACTACACACAGCAAAGGGTATATTTCATGACTATGCACTATTTTATCTAGCACATCTTACTGACTAACATTCTGACTCAAAAATTTGATTCCGGTTTACTTGAAGTCAATTACGCTCCAACAGTCCAACCATATTGCAAATGCCAAATAGCTGATGACCTGTTCTGACCAAGGACTTCCTTAATTGGGTAAGTTTAAAGAGCTTGGAGATGGGGTTAACATCTACTCCTCCTCAAACTTGAAGAGGGGGAGTCCTAGTGATTGCAGTCACTAGGCTCAACTCTCCTTGACATCATGTCCAGATCTCATAGGACCAAGTTTTTCATTTTTAGCTCTCTGATTTTCTAAGATATCCTCTAATACTTGTTATATCTCTTTAATTAATTTATCTCGTAGGATTCTAGTGGTTGATTCATGGGCACAGCACCTCTGTATGTCCTCCACCTTTTCACTAATAAGACATTAATTCAGTTCTCAATCTGTAAGTAAGCCACCAGCATATGTCTCCTTTTCAAACCTCTGGTCCTCATTTATGTATGCAGGGACCATAATATTCTGAGGAGTCAAGAAATATTCCAAGAATCAGGATAAATGTTGTGGCAGGAAAGCAGTCAACAGGCATCTTGGCAAAACAATGCTAGATGGCGCTAAATAAAAAAGTGGTTAAAACAAAACAATTGTTCTAGTAACTGTGTACATAAAGAATAAATGTTAATGATGCTAACCAACCTAAGTAGAATGTTTCAGGAAATGCATAGCCATCAGTACTGAACATCACCTGCAAATTATTCACGCAAGACATTAAATTCACCAGCACAGACATAAAATACAACTCCACATGCCATATTAACACGTTCGTGCCAGTTCAGCGTGTGTAATAACATAGCCAGTATTAAAAAGTTGAAGTTTCAATTTTAGAAGTAAAGAAGTTTTTACAAGGTAAAAAGAGGGTGAAAAACGCAAGCAGCAAAGAAAGAAAGCATTGCTTTCTCACTCCATACTCAGACAAATTAACATAAAAGTTAAGAGTTATAATAATTGAAGCTACATACTATAGATTATGTAGTATAAACTTCTAACACTAGCTCCATGTGTCGCACGTGAAATTTGTTTCCTACCAGTGCATGGCAACACTTATTTTCTACGTCCATGGCACAGTACTTTCATATTATTTTTTGAACTTTGTATATTGTCACCTTATTTATTGGAGCCAGCTCCAATAGCTCTTTAACTGAAGATATCATTCCATGAACACTAAGCTTTGGAATTGCCAACCCAAAATCGAGGTACACCTGAAGGAAAAAACTGTATATTATCCTCAAGGCCAAGGAACCTGGTACCCAAATTAGGTATATGCTAATATAATTTACTGAGTCATCTAACATTTACCTGGGAGTAAACAGAGGCAAGATATGATGCTTCCCTGGAGAATGGATAGGATGCATGTAAAAGAACTATACGGCACTTGGAATATCTCTTGTCCTCAAGAACTGCACGGAGATGAAGAGGATTGGATAGTCGCATATCTAGATCTGTATCTCCAAAGCTACAAACAAAAATCAATAAATAGCATATTACGTAAAAGTGAAAGGTATATTGATTGAGAGACCTAATCTCAATTTAGTAGTATGGGTGCTTAATAGGGTATTCAAGTGGATTGGTTCTCCCATCCCACTTGACTCGCAGGGATGTTCAATATGATATTAACAGAGAAGCAGTAAATAACAGAGGAAACTGCAACTTTGACGTAAACAAGATTTTTGGTAAATCCTAGTAGTGGACCAGGCATGGACCACTGCATTTCCACAACATTAATGACGTACTGCCAAATGCAAGACAGTGCAAGAACCCTTATTAACTGAACTCTAGTTATTTACAAGAAATTTTAATTAACTCAGTTCATACTTACTTAGAAGTAATTATTTGGAAACCTCAAAAAGCTACCAGTTTTTAAAGCTCATCCATTCCCCCAAAAATATTTAGCTAGCAATCATAGCACATGTAGAAGCGCATCAGACAATTTAAGAATTATCCATTACCCTGTGTGTATCTGCATTGGCAAGTCATAAGACTGAGCAACTTCCAAGCTTTGCAAGAAGATGTAATCAATAAGGTTCTTGTTTGTTATACGGAACGGCTTCCCAGCTGAAAATAAGGAATTACAGCTAAGACTATCCAGCGTTACGTTAAACTGAAACCAATTCATATACTCTACTTACCAATTAGCACTTCATTGAGACCCTTCTCTGCATCCTTGTTGGTCACTTTTGTATTGATTTCAAGACCGCTACGATATGCAGCAATGCTTTTCAATCCAAAGATTTCACTAGCAACCGTAACAAAAATGCTAAGGAGTCCAGTTAAACCAGTGAATAATTTCGCAACTATATACCAATTAAGAAAAGAAATTGATATGCAAAGGATATGATTTCAACTTTGAGACAAATGCTTCAGTGAACTTATCCAATGTCCAATGAGATCCATGTGGCAACACCTAAAGCAACATGAGTTAGAAAGCCATGAAGTCAATACCAAACAGAACATTGGCCTATGGCTTAGCGACAAATAGTATGACTGCAATCACAGATACAAGAATGGAATACAAACAAAGGATGAAACCAAATTTCAATATTTCATGTATCTGGAATGAACGAATCTGTGAGAGTAATTCGCTAACAAAATTGCTGTTTCACAATGCTCCTTGCACGGTACCAACAGCAACACAAATAAAGAACAATATAGTGCCTAAAAACAACATAAGATGCCCAACAGTTATGCAATTTCGGATCAAAAATGGAAATCTAAGTTTCTCACTTCATCAAGAATTTTCTCGGCCAACCGTTCAACTCTTAAGATTCTACCAACAAGAGGTGTCAAACTCTCGTGCCACTTTAAATCATGCTTTTTATCCAATTCTAACCCATCGTCAATGAGTATGGCGGAGATTTTTGCAGCTTTGAAGCACTTAGAACAGATGGATTGCAATCCAGAAACTCTTCGATATTCTTCAACACTTTGCAAAGAACATTGGCATCCATAGAGTTCAGCAATTTCTCTTACACTTCTCTGTCATTGCATAATTTGAACACAAATCATATGTCAAACAGAATAATTTGAAAATTCTCGAGCAAATTGCATTCAATAACACTTGACTTTAGCACATATAGATTGTGAGGTAGAACTGGGAATTAAACCACAGATGCTGCATGGCATCAATTTGACAAGAGATTGGTAAATACTTCATGCAACATATTCCATTGAATGAAATCAATCATTATTCTGGGTACTCATGAGTGGGTTTGAGTTTCTATTTGAAACACCATAAAATACAGTAACATGCTAGAAATCCTGAAGCATGGCTCAACAGGAGTTGATGCAGCGAAGTGAAAGCAGAAATCATAGCATAATTCAGTAATTACTTCCAATAAATTTACAGAACATGCTAAAGCTTTGTTTCTTGATCCTTTTTCCTTCAACCACACTTCCAAATATCATTTATCTCTGGCAAGAAAGTCCCAACCTCAGGTCATCAGTTTACTACGTCTTTTGGTTTGATTAGCTTGATATCACGATTGCATAGCTATGTTCTCAATAAGAGGAAAGGAAATTGTAAAGAAATCCTTGTGCCGCCCACACTTTCAAGCAATTACAATCACGTTGACATCCCAATGTCAAAACCAAAAAACCAACTGGAATGTAACATGCTATTTACAGCTATCTGTTTTACATATGTACTCAACATCGTGCAAGCTGGTAGGGAAATACGTAATTGACTGACAGTACACAGATGATTCAAGTTTTCATTTTAAGAGGGTCACGCTCGAGAATAGCAGAATAAAAAATTATCATCCATAATTGTTCGAGGTCGATCATTTCAGTTGTTTCGTATAATGATTGTGGTTCGCCTATGATAACAACTGATTCAGAAGCGAATTGTTTTTAATGGAACAGGGGAATTAATGAAAGGAGCCCTCTGTTCCTTTAGAAAGTCAACTCGTATTATCACTCAAATAAATCATTTGAGGATTTTTTTTCCTTCTTATCAGATTTGACAATGTGAAAGCTAAACCGGTCAGATCCGGAGCATGAGCTTAGAGCAAATGGCGACGGTGGTAGCGAACAAGGAGAAGAGAGTGAGGAAGAAGTACCTTGTAGGATATAGAGTGGGGTGCGAAAGAAACGGCATCCCCGTAGGCTTCAGAGAAGGCATGGATGAAAGCGAAGTTGGAGTTCAGCTCAACTATGTTGTGAGCGTGAGCGTCGATGAGCTCGACCTCCTCTACAGCTCTTCTCAGTTCTGCAAAGTCCATATCTTCTGCGTTTGACTGTTGAAGAAAAACCGCCTCCCCCTTTCCGTTTTTTCTTGATAGAGCTCGTCCCACTCTCTCTTCTAGTTATCTGTAGTATATTCATGTACATATGGACACGCACACTTATACATCTCCATATTACATACACGCGCGTGTCGAGTTACTTGAAGTCAAGCCACGTGAACTACAGTCCCATATATTCGTCATTGGTTGGCCGCCATCGGAGACGGAAAGAAATGGATAACTTCACGTATTTATTACTATTACATTGCTTTTATTACGTTCCGTATATCTCACATTCCACTTGAAAATTTTGATTTTGAATATCCGGCGCATTTTGCTGACTTGGTCTATTGTCTTAGGCCATGTTTGGATTTCCGTTTGGAGGGTAAAAGCTCATAGGAAAATGTGAAACTGAGATTTAAGGTTTTTTGGGATTCAAACTGCTGTTTGGATAGATTAAGATGCCAGCTAACTTTTGAGCCAAACTACCGCTGCGTTCCAATGCTCAATTTGTAACTTTCAGAGCATTGAGGAAGGTGCCTTCAAGCCTTTTCCAAGCTTCTCTCTCTGTCAGCCTCACCCGCTTTCTCAATTTCATCCACCATAGCAGGAACAGGGAACTGCAGTGGCTCCAAAAGAAATTTTAGTAGAAAAAGAATTAAAACCTGAGACAAACACTAATAAAATCCCAAACTAGAGAACAAATAAATTTTAATTTATATTCATATTTATCCATTATATATGTTTAATTATCTTGGTAACAAATATTTCTATTTTATAATCTCACAAATAAACTATTTTTATTTTATCATAATAATTTTAGGTATTTTTTTAAATATTATCACATTAAAAACATAAAATATCAAACACTACTGTTTAATAAATCCACATCTTTTTAGTCATTTATAGCTAAACTAATTTTTTTATTAATCATCCAAACAACTTTCAACTTTTTCAACTGACTTTTTAAAAGTAACTATCCAAACATATCCTAACTGACTATTTCTAATCTCAGTTATAAAAGTCAGTTGTGTTAGAAATCAGTTTTATCCAATACCATTCTAAACAAACCCTTAATTTTCAGAGCGGCGGGGTGGACACTGTTGCTGTCACGGGACACGTGGCTCCTTATAGGAGCGTCGGGTGGAAAGCAGAAGCTTGTGGAAGGATCGTCTTCCGCTGTTTATTTTCCTCATGTAAATTCCGATTGATCTGTTGTGACAGAGACAGTGCATTTATAAGGAGTTGTCAATATCAACGAACCAAAATTTAAGCAGCATTCGCAGTTAATTGAAATACTCATGCTTTAATTAATACTTAATATAAAAGATAAATAACTAAATTTAAGAATATTAGAAAAATTAGTTAAATTAATTATTTATAATAATTGATATTTCTTTAACTAAAATATTTTTATTAGTCATGTATATTATAGTAAAAATATTTTAACATGTACGGTTAACATATGAACTACTTTTAAAAAAAATGAATAAATGTGAAAAATAAAATATATTTGAGTCTTATATTTAAAATTAAATTAATTCTTCAACTAGTTCTTATAATTAGGATAAGAGGTAGTAGTATACTAATTAACCTATAATTCACAGGTTCAATATAAAATCAATTATTAAAATATTAAGCTAGTTTTCTTGGGAAGAATTGCTATGAAGTCCTAAGTTAAAATTATCAAAAAGTCCTAAGTTTATAATGTGTTTTTAAAAAATTCCTATTAATTATAAGGTATTTTCATCTAAGTGTAATTTCAATGTATATGATTGAACGAGAATAATTTGAGAAAATCAATGCACATTTATTACAAATAACTAATTTTTTTAATCTCACTGAATTAGTTATCTAGTTTTTATATTAAATACCGGAGATAATAATAAATAATAAGTTAACAACTGTTCACTTGCTATTATGACTTACTAATAATTATTTAACTAGTTTCTTTAATTTCTTTAAATTAGTTATCTAGCTTCTGTATTAAGCACTGAAGATGGTAGCAAATAATAAGTTAACAACTGTTCACTTATTGTTAAGACTTAATGATAATTATTTTATTTTCTTGGATGGATTTGAATTATAACAGAATTTTAGTTGTTTAAAATATGAAATTTGGTTTAATTTCCCATTCTCCTGCCTGATGTGAATACGATTTTATTAGGCGCACGACTAAAGTATATATCGCAAAATCAAAATGCCAAATTATCTACCGTTCAAATTTAACCATAATTTTTGCAAACCAAATTTAATCATAATTAAATCTATTCACAACGTAAGACCAAACTACATGAATTCCATTCCAATATTGATATACATATCATTAAATATTTCCATGAATATAGAAAATAAACCATAACTAAAAATATTTACTAAATTAATCTGGCCCATCGATGGGGCTGATTAACGGTTGATAAAAGATAAATTGAATAGAACGCGCCTAAACGATGAGTAGGCCCTTGACTTTCGAAAAATGGAAAGTGGTTCCCCATAAGCCAGTTCATGTTTCCGTCTTTAGGAAAACAAACAATTCCAGAGGTTCATCTGACTAGATAAAAATAGCAAGACTTGCCAGAAAAAACCAAAACTCACCGGCAAAAAGAGCAAGGCCGGCAAATTGGCTCAAGAAAGAAGCAGGGCCAAGCCCCAGACAGAAACTAACAAAGGCCAAGTGTAAATCTCGTCAGAACTATACTTGAAAAATTAAAACTGCTAAACAAAAAACCAACAGGAGTTGGACCTACCGAAAAGATTTAGTCCCTCACAACATGACGAATTGAGATTCGAATCTCTATTGGAAGAAATGTCTACATTTAGTACCCAACAGTGTCTTGAATAGAATTACCTCCAATAAGAAAATACATATATTTTAGTAGGAAAAAAAAAGTAAAACAAAAGTTAAAAACCTTACAGTTCGGGGAATGGAAGAATTATGGGAAAAGAAGTCATCTTTAACGTTATCTCTGATCACTCTGCCTAATACATTTTCGTATACCAAAAACCAAACTGACAACTTTTTTTATTTATGCTTGTTAAAGTTTTTCTCCCTGCATATTTATAAATAATTGTCAAATCTCTCCTTTCTTTCTCTCTTTACAAATTTGACAATCAAACCGAGCGATTGAAAGCGACTAATACCGCCCAGTTATTTAAAGCTCAACAACCAACCATATGCGGCTATGCAGAGTTTGGTCAATGCAACTTTTGGAGCCCTGATCTGGCCTCCTCTATGAAGGAATGCCTTGCTTAGGTTGCATACTAACCTAGCTTTATAATATAGCCTCCACTAATCGTGTTGTATTGGTAAAACAAAAAACAAAACAAAAAAAACAGCAACTGCAGTGAAGATAAGAGGAAAAACAAATACAGAGAGTGGGTTTTAAAAAATAAAGAGAAAATAATGTACGGATGCGAGTGTAGCCTCTGCATGTGTTTTTATACATTCTATCCTTAACAAAATATTTTAAAAAATTAGTTAAATTAGTGTGTATTAATTTTCCTAAAATAGCTTATTTAATTTTGCCATTATAATAATCTCGTGATGAAAATATTTATATGTTTAATCAACGAGAATATTTCTAAAAAAAAATTATATATTTGGAAGACAAAATGGAATGTAGCATTATATTTAAGATTTGAGAAAACTGTTGAAAAAAATTCTCATTAAAATATTTGTTGGTTAAAAGTATTTGAAATTTGTTTAAGGATTAGCAACTCATTTTCAATGGAATCGCACTCGCTGAAAAACGAGTTACGTTCAATTCAAATCATTTTAAGTGGAAAAAAAAAACTTTTTTAAATAGGACTCTTCAACAACTTTTCGACAACTTTTTTTATTTTCTTTTTGTCTTAAATACAAAATCCATCTCGACACCGTCGGATTATTAACATTGACTTTCATCCCTGCCCCATGGGTGAGTTTTATAGTCAAGCTCCCTTCGACCTTTACACTTAAGGGTCAATCTCCGTCACTTTTGTACCTCTCCGCTATCTTTTGGGAGGCCCACGCTCCCACGCTCTATAGAAACTGTTACTTGAAATATGCTCTATATCTAAGAGTGGAAGAGCGTTTTTATTTAAAAGTCACTCCTTCAAATTCAAATGCAAGGACATCAAAAGTTGAATGCATGATCCATAAAAACTTACTTAATGCTGGCCAATGATCAGTTGTAAAGGACCTGGTTCATATCCACGGACGAGACAGGACAACAAGTTGTAATATATGAATCAAAAATTCAAAACCCTGTATGCGCGCATCTTCACTGGCTGGGGTTCTAGTAAAAAAAAAAAAAAACGGACAAAGAAAAAGAAAACATTTAGTTGCTGGATTTGTATATGATGGGCCGGGCCTGCAGCTCATGTTTGAGATCAGCCCAGAGATATTCACACACACACACGCATTTATATATATATATATATATATATATGCTTGGACAGTTGGGCTCGATCCAAAGAGCACTGAAAATTAAAATAAAAAAAAACCACGAATAAGAGTTATTTGTTCACAGTATCGACTTACTGTTCAGGTTGATGACTGTGTACTTTGGTCTTTAACAGTCGAAAAAAGCACTTAGATTAATCTTTGCATGAGAAAAAGACAATTAAATACCCTAAAACTTGTTAAAAGACAAGTTTGTATAAATGGATTTCAAAATTTTAATTCATGCCCCCTGTACTATTTGAAAATTTTCAAACCTTGTCAAATTATACAAGTGTCCTTCACTGTTTTTTTTTTCCAAAATATTGTCACCTTAGCATTCTTAATCGGTTTCTAGCCAACGGAGCTCCAACACCGGCTATCCCATTAGTGGCCAACTGCCAAAGCTTTGACAACATATCATTGGGACGTTAGCAACTACTCTTTTTTAATTATTGACTACGTTTATTTTTATAACTCTGATAACTATTCTTGTTTAATTACTGACTACTCTAGCATTGTGATTGACTGCTTTCATTTTTAAAATTTTGTGACTACTCTTGTTTAGCTATTGACTACTATAGTTTCGTTATTAACTACTTTTATTTCAAAAATTCAAAAAATGTATTAAGCATTGTTAGAGATTTGGTGACTACTTTTTATTCAGTTATCTATTACTCTTGTGTAGTCAATAGTTATACAAAAACAGTCACCGAAACTTTGAAACAAAAGTAATAAATAGTTAAGATAGAGTAGTCAATAGTAATATAAAAATAATTATTGGGAGTAAGGACAATATTACATTTTACAATATTTTAAAATTTTAAAATAGTATAGGAGGTCTAATTTGAGATTCTAAAATTCATCAATCCTAATTCGTTTTTTAGCATTTTTGAGGATATATTAGTTTCTTTTTCCCTTTTCATCATGAGATGACCTTTATTCATTGCATGATCACACTATATTTTATTGGATATTAGCCGAAAAAAATATAAAACCGTATATTAACACATTGGCTCGTATTTTAAATAAATAATAAATTCACACAGGCCTGCACCAACATTTACTAATATTCCTTATATTTTTAGATGGAATTTATACTTAACTTATAAAATTAAATGAATTTATATATTGGGAAATGCCTCCTAAGCAAGCATGCAGACGTGTTTTGAATAACCGTATATACATATTTCTTTAGTTCTAAGTATAATAATTAATTATTTTATAGTATAAATTATATTATAAAATAAATCTTATATATTTAGAAGGGAAGGAGTATATTGATATTGATAAGCATAAAATGGTTGAAAAAATCGATGAAGCATATTGGGGACCCGTAACTACCTTGGTCCGGTAATCTCCACGAAATAGCGTCAGAAATTTCATAGTGACGTGACTAACCCCGGACTTGAAGCTTTAATATCGTAGGTCAGAAGCTTGAAATAACATGACGTGGCTGCCAGTCCACCACACCTAGCCTTGCCAGCACAAGCAGTCTTCCCACTAAATGAAGAAGCAATCACGGTTAATGAAGACATGGTTGAACCGCACCTAGCCTTGCCAGCACAAGCAGTCTCCGGTCGCCCACCTTTGTTTAAGTTTCCATGGTTGGACCACACGGATTATCAGGCCTAACAATGAACTTGCATACTCATTTAGACCCCACTGAAAGGAAAAATCGAGAGAGAGAGAGAGAAGGGCGAGATTATTGATTATCTACAGGAGACGGTCGGGAAGTTCCAGCGCTTGATATTTATCCTTTAACTGTTACTCGTACGTATTGTTTCTTTAAGCAGTAAATATAACGTGTTTTACATAAAAATATGAATCTTACTAAAAAAGTATATAAATTAGCACTAGCTCTCTAACGGTTGAATGGGCAAGTGGAAAAGTAGCGTATATGTATATATGTAAGCATCTGTATATACACACACCTCGTACGGTGAAACCAAGGCAATTTGTTCGATGATAAATGATATGCGCAACAGCAAACGGAAAGATCGCGACGATGTTAATTGACAGGGACGAATTTCCAGTAGTATATAATACTAACTCTATTTTCTACAAATTAAATAAGATTTTATAATTAGAACCGGATCAGATCGAAGGTAGTATAATGTTACCACCTGACCTAGATGTCTCTGTAGTTTCGCCCCCGGTGAAAACTACCAACAAGCATTGATCTCGACAACTTAACGTTTTTTTTGGGAGGAATACATGAAATTATCATTAATGGGCCATTTCCATGGTTGACGGTGTGGAAAACCAGCTATTTTTCCAATATTCGCAACGTGCACGGCAGGATAGGGCTCCACGCATTGAATTCCCATCCCCACTATTCGAAGCGACGCAGCCTATACAGACAGAGCCGAACTTGAGCCATATACCTCCCATCAAAACACACCACAAATTTAGCCCACCAATACATACACTGCACCTCTTATCATGAATCCCCTAGTTGTTTTGTGCCTTACTCTGGCCTTCCTCCTCTATGGTATGACATATATACCACACTCACCACATTAATTGGCTAAGGGTTTTCATAGATAGAGCCTTTCCATTCCTCTCCCTTCCCCCTCCTTATTTAATTTTCAGCGAATTGAAGTTATTATATACATGATGATCAGTTTAATTTGTTGAAACTGAGCATCTATGTATATGCCCAGCTCCGTTTTTAGTTTGTTTTTATTCACATAATATAGTTTGCTTATCATGATTAAGCATGCATGCACTGAAGGAATATTATATGTGACGATTAATCTGGGAGACGTGGTTTTGTGCAGGAGGAAATGCAATCACCATTAATTTTATGAACACTTGCCAATTCACGGTATGGCCCGCAACCGTAAACGGAGGTTCAAGCCCTGCACTGTCCACAACCGGATTCGAGTTGGCGAGTGGAGCATCTAGATCCGTGGACGTCCCTTCACCATGGTCGGGCCGATTCTGGGCTCGGACGGGATGCTCCGGTGGCGCCGGCAACTTTAAGTGTGACACGGCAGATTGTGGCTCCGGTCAAGTCGAGTGCAATGGCAAAGGAGGAACCCCACCGGCAACGTTGGCAGAAATTACGGTGGCACCGAACGGTGGCCAGGACTTCTATGACGTGAGTAACGTGGATGGGTTCAACTTGCCGATATCTGTGGCTCCACAAGGCGGCACCGGCGACTGTAAAGAGTCAAGCTGCAAGGCGAACATCAACGCGGCGTGCCCAAGTGACCTAAAAGTATTTGAAACGTCTTCCTAGTTATATCGCGAATCTTTTAGATAAAACTCTTAAAGAATTAGAGGGTCTGCGATTTGTGATTTGATCAAAATTCTTATTTTACAGATTCAGAAAGAGGAACTGTCATTCTATCCAATCGAATTGGGATGCCTTGTAACAGGCTCCTATGAGAGCGTTATTGCGTGCAAGAGTGCTTGCGTAGCTTATAACAAGTCTGTGTATTGCTGCACCGGAGAGTACAGCAGTTCAAGCACATGCAAACCCACCACCTACTCCCAGTTTTTCAGCAGTCAGTGCCCTCAAGCTTACAGTTACGCTTACGATGATCTCAAAGGCACCTTTACTTGCAACGGCGGACCTAACTACGCCATCACTTTCTGCCCCTAAGCAAAGGAAAATCGGAGCTTCGTTACTCCTCCACCGTGTGGGATAATAGTTATGCAATTGCTACGTCCAGTAATAACATGCGCTTATGTGTGCATGCAGATGAATAATAATGTAGTTTGATTTGATGATATTGTGCTATATGTGCACAATTGCATATGATGAACTCATCATATAGGTATATGGGAATAATAGAGTTTCATGGGAACAAAATCAAAGTAAGTCGTTTTTATAATTAGCGATATTTGATGATTTGTCAACGCTCATGAACGCAACTATTCTAACTTTGAAGCCATCGACTAGATGTGTATATTTTATCACATGCCATCCATCAAATATATATTATCACAGTTATAGAAAGAAATTAAACAAATATAGGTTTTTTTTTACAATTTCAATAAAAATATATTGCCTCTAATCTTTAATATAAAAGCTAGTTTGAAATTCAATTTGATCTTAAGTATAAGATCCGAAATCCACTTTATCTCTCATATTTATCCTTTTTTCTAAAGGTAGTCCTTGTAATAGTTGTACATGTTAAATATTCTAACTAATACACATGATTAGTAATGATATTTTAATAAAAACAATAGATATTTATTACAAATAAATTAATTAATTAATTTTTTTAATCTACTCAAATTAATCAACTAATTTTTATATCAAGAGCGGAGGTAATGTCTCAGAATCATTTAAAAAGCCAAATATACAGCTGGCAAAAAAGGGAAAGCCAAAATGAACAGAGAATACATGTGACAACTGTGAAAAGAGATGCATTTCAGTAGCTCAATGGAGACGACGCTTGACTCAATTTCACACACACACACAGAAGATATACATGTGATTTTTTTTCATACACTGTGATAAATCATCCTTAAGAAATTCACTCATACCTTTCCTTACAGAAGTCTAGGTTTAAGAATAATACGTACTGAACGGAGAAGGGATATGTCTTTTAAATTTTTTCGATATATAGTTTGATACATCTCAAGTTATAATCTAAATTTAACACCGCAGTTCGAATTTAAAATCTGAAACAGAAAAGTTTAAGAATCGCGGATTTATTTTAATCTAATGCACATCCTTGCAACTACATGACATAACTATTTTTTCATACTTCTTATCTCTAACAGATGTTCCGATATTATTAGCAGCGGCCGAACACCAAAAAAAAAAAAAGGATTTTCCGGTATTAGCAATGTACAGGGCATTCCACGTACTTAAAAAAAAAAAGAAGAACAAAAACCCCGCCTATATACACCGGTACCTAACAAACTTGAAACTATCTCATCAAAACAGAGAAAATCCTCTCAATGAATACTCGAGTTGTTTTATCCCTTATTTTGCCCTTCCTCTTCTATGGTAAGTATCGATAATGTGTATATCTTTCTTTCATGTAGCTCCCTTTCTTGTGTATACACCTTCACAACATTGGCAAATTTCCAGCTAATTGGAGTTGATGTACAAGTACAATATTCACTTGCACAATAAATGTTTTATAAATGGAAAGTGCTCCTATTTTTTCTTTATTTTTAGAGAAGTCATGGCATTTGTCAGTTTGAAACTGATGAGCATCTATATGCCCAACCCTATTTCTATATATTTTACTTGATGCCATGCGTTATATAATTACACACACACGGAGATTGATCTGCAAGACGTGGTTTTGTCACTTTTGTGCAGGAGGAAATGCAGCCACAATGACTTTTACGAACAAGTGCCCCTTCACCGTGTGGCCAGGAACCCTAACCGGAGCTCCCAACCCTCAATTGTCTACCACCGGATTCGGGTTGGCGAGCGTGGCAACTAGCTCAATAGACGTGCCTTCTCTGTGGTTGGGTCGCTTTTGGGCTCGGAACAGATGCTCTAGTATGTTCGGAAAATTTGTTTGTGCTGTCGCAGACTGTGGCTCCGGTGAAGTCAGCTGCAACGGCGCGGGGGGCGATCCCACCGGCAACATTGATAGAACTCACGATGGCAGCGAACAGTGGACAAGATTTCTATGACGTGAGCACTGTAGACGGGTTCAACTTGCCCATGTCCATAGTCCCACAAGGCAGCACCGGAGACTGCAAAGTCTCAAGCTGTCCGGCGAACATCAACAGGGTGTGCCCGGATCCACTAAAAGTAATCGGGTCGGATGGAACAGTTACTGGCTGCGAGAGTAGAGGTGGTAATATGGTCCAACCCGCAGGTTGCAGGTTGGCCTGTGACGAGTTAGGGTTAGACGGTGCAAGCTAAAAAGGTCCCGTGTAATGGCAGGTTGGCTTTTAGTCAACCCTAACCCGCCATAGTGGGTTGAATGGTTGGCCTGTCAACTCGCCTACTATTTTTTTTAATTTTTTTTATTTTTAAAATATTTTTTCTTATACAATATAAAAAATATAATAAAATTTTTATCTTTTCTTTAAATACTTGATTAAAAACACAAAATAAATAAATGATATAGGTTTTTTTTTAATTTTCTAGATAGAATATATAATATAATAATATACATATAATGATTAATAAAATTTAAAAATACAAAAAAAATTACAGGTTGGCTCGCGGGTTGTGGGTTAGATGGTACAGGTTGAAAAGCGTTGTTTATTGGCGGGTTGAGTTTTAACCAACCCTAACCTATTATTTTTTATGGTTTGATGGGTTGGACCCACGAGTTTAATCCCATATTACCAGCTCTATGCGTGAATGCGTGCACGGCTCTCAATGAGCCACACTATTGTTGGACTGGAGATCCTAACACAACACCCAATACACTCGAGTTTTCAAGACGCAATGCCCTGATGCTCATATGTAGGACCAGGACCATTACTTGCTTCAGCAGGCCCAACTATGCGCTGGTAAAAAAACAAAGAGCAGGCCCAACTATGCCATCACGACCTGTCCTTGAATTAATCTCGTGAGCCAAGGGAAGTCGAAGCTTTATGGGGGGGAAAAAAAAAAACTCGTTCACTATGTCATAATTATGTAATACTCGTATATCTATGCACAATATATTATGTATATATGCACGTGTGAGAATTATAACACCCTTTTTGGCCGCAAGACACGTTATATAATGAAAATAAAAGAAGTCTCTAATTACTTTTGAGCCATCAGTTTTATAAAACGTGCCTTGTCAGATAAGAACACAGAGAAGCATACGTACATGTGTGTGTATATGAAAGTTCTTTGCGTCTTATAGTAATTTAGGGCAAAGAATAATTCAAAATTTCCTTATATATATATATATATATATATATCCGAGTCAATTACTCATTTCTAGTCCTATTATTTAGAAGAAAATATTTTTATCCTATTTATACGTCATATTATTACGGATTTTATATGAACGTGCAATTTCGTTCTTCATTTGTTATTGTATTGTGTAAACTTTTATTGTATTAAAAATTAAAGTGAATGTATTAAATAAAAGAAAAATTAAAATGTCATTAAAATTTAATACTCTATAATGTTAACTAGATTGAAGACTTTTCCTACGTGGATTTTTCCTATGTAATTCCGATTGTTCTGTTATGACTTATGACAGACACAGTGCATTTATAAGGAGTTGTCAATATCAACCAGCCAAAATTTAAGCAGCATTCGGAGTTAATTGAAATACTCATGATTTAATTAATACTTAATATAAAAGATAAATATTGATAATATTAAAAAAAATTAGTTAAATTAATTATTTATAATAATAGATATTCTCTTAACTAAAATATTTTTATTAGTCATGTGCATTATAGTGAAAATATTTTAGCACGTGTAGTTATCATATATGAACTACTTTTAAGGAAAAAAAATGAATAAATATAAAAAACAAAATAGATTGAAGTTTTATATTTCAAATTAAATTAAATCTCTGACTAGTTCTTATAATTAGAATCGAATGTAGTGGTATATGAATTAACCTATAATTCATTGGTTCTCTATCAAATCAATTCTTAAAATATAAGCTTTTTTTTTTTGGAAGAATTGTTATGAAGTCCATGTAAAAAATATAATTATTAAAAATTCCCAAGTTTATAATGTGTTTTGAAAAATTCCTATTAATTATAAGGTATTTCCACCCAGGTAAAGTTTCAATATAAATGATTGAATAATGATAGTTTAAAAAAGTCAACACATATTTATTATAAATAACTAATTTAATTAATTTTTTAATATCTTTAAATTAATTATCTAGCTTTTATATTAAGTACCGGAGATAGTAGTAAATAATGAGTTAACAATTGCTCACTTACCGTTGGGACTTACTGATAATTATTTAATTAATTTTTTAAATTTCTTTAAATTAGTTATTTAGTTTTTATATTAAGTACCGAAGATAGTAATAAATAATAAGTTAACAACTATTCTCTTGTCATTTGGATTTACTGATAATAATTTTATTTTCTTGCGTGGATTTGAATTATATCAGAATTTTAGTTGTTTAAAATACAAAATTTGGTTTAATTTTCCATTCCCCTACGTGATGTGAATACGATTTTACCATGCGCACAACTAAAGTATATATCACAAAATCAAAATGCCAAATTATCTACCGTTCAAATTTAATCAAAATCTTTTGCAAGCCAAATTTAATCATAATTAAATTCCAATATTGATATACATATCATTAAATATTTACATGAATATAGAAAATAAACCATAATTAAAAATATTTACTAAATTAGTCCAGCTCATCGATGGGGCTGATTAACGGTTGATAAAAGACAAATTGAATATAATGCGCCAAAACGACGAGTAGGCCCTTGACTTTCTAAAAATGGAAAGTGGGTCCCCACAACGCGGTTGATGTTTCTGTCTTTAGAAAAACAAACAATTCCAGAGGTTGATTTGGCTAGATAAAAAGTAACAAGACTTGCCAGAAAAAGCCAAAATTCACCGGGAAAAATAGCAAGGCTGGCAGATTGGCTCAAAAAAGAAGCAGGGCCAAGCCCCAGACAGAAACTGACAAAAGCCTAGCATAAAACTCGTCAGAACTCAGAACTATACGTGAAAAATCAAAACAGCTTAAACAAAAGGACCACAAGAAAAAGTAAAACCGAAGTTAAAAACTTTACTGTTCATGGAATGGTAGAATTATGGCGTACCACAAGAAAAAGTGAAACAGAAGTTCGAAACTTTTCTGTTCATGGAATGGGGGAATTATGGCTTGCTTTGAAGGACTCGAAAAGAAGTCACCTTTAAAGTTATCCCTGATCACTTGCCTGATGCGCTTTCGTATACCAAAAAATAGACCGACAATTTTTTTAATTTATGCTTATAAAAGTATTTTCGTCCCTTCATATTTATAAATAATTTT